TTCGCTTCAAAACCTGCTTGTAGATAAGTATAGTTTATTTTTTAATGATAACTTTGCCTTTTTGAATTTATTAATGATAACTTTGATTGAATATGGTGTTTGAATATGGCATACGTTTACAATTTTTTGCTAGTAAAGTTGATGTGTATTATTTTTTTATCACTTAACTTGATACTCGTTCATTTAACTTGTTAATGTCGTTCACAGCTTTTTGCACTCTATTTGTTGATGAGTAAATATTGTTGCCCATTGCTTGATGGCTGTGTAGTCAGCAAATGTTGCTAGTGTGACTTCTTCATTAGTTGGTATATCATTAGTGTACAGCAAATACAAAATAGGCCCAAGAAAACATCATTGAGGTACACCCGCCGAAATTCCTTTAAGATCAGAGTATTCGACTCCATACTTAACACGAAATCTTCTTTCTCTTATATATGACTTCAATATTTCAAAAAATTGTTTTGGAAGTTGTTTATGTAGTTTGTATTCAAGTTCATCATGCCAGCCCTTGTAAAAAGCCTGAGATACGTCGAGGAAAACGCCTGTACAAATGGTCTTTTCTTCTAGGGCTTCTTCAATTGAATTGATGATGCGGTGAACCTGTTCAGTAGTGGTGTCATGGTGTGCTTTTTTCGGAAGCCGAATTGATGCGACGGTATATGCTTTCTCTCAATTATAATTTTTATCAACCTTTCATACAATTGCTTTTCAAACATGACTTTTGCTATTTTCCAATTGTGGAACATGCTTTAATTGGAAACAACTATTTATTATGTGTGTTAACTTTTTCAGCGCTTTTCTGGGAACTCCTTTATCATTTCAGCTGTTATCATGTCAAATCCTGGAGATTTGTTTTTCAACCCCTTATCAATAGTTATTTTTTGTTCCTCCATTGTAATCAACGGTATTTCTAGATTATCCACTCTATTAATTTGTCAAATATTTTCTTTATTAGTTTGCTGAGGTAGCAAACCTTTTCTTTGTGAAAAGGTTTGCTACCTTTTTGTTCTTTTTTCTTTTGAAGATGTTCTGCAAACCGGTTGGCTTTTTGTTTTGACTTTTGGCCCATGTACCGTTTGCCATTTTTAAAGGTTTGTGACATGTATTATCGGTATCTTGATGCTTTTGATCGCCTTCCACTGAGAGTATTCCATGTTTCTTTCAGCAGTTAAATTTTTAACGTATTTATTAGTGGATTTTAACTTTCTTTTACTAATTTTCTTATCTTACTTAAATCATATTTACCCTCTATATATGAACGAAATTGACCTTTGGCAACATAAATATCAATTAAGTTAGAGTACCAGTTGTAAATAACTCGCAGTTCATTCGCTCCTTTGAAAAGCTGCCGACCTTCACGACTTATAAGTTGTGAGCCCCAAAAAGTATGCTTGGCATTCCAGTCTGCCCCAATAATAAAAATATTTCTGACCATATCAAAAATATGGACGTACTGTTCTTTTTTGGTTACATGTCTTGGCGGACATGTCTTGTAGGTGGTAGTATTTCATAAAATTGATTTGGAAGTTGTAACTTAAACTTCTTAACTTAAAAGCAAAGAGGAACCTTTTACTATTATTCTTTTAAAAGTGGCGAATAAAATTTCCAAAGTGTGGAAAACAAACGTGGGTTTTTAGACATCTCTCCTTTTTACCGACCGTATTGTGTATACTCGTACAATAGGTAGGTGATGTGATGGCAACAAATTTTGCATATCGAGTTTTCGGTGGGAATGCACTTCTCTCCATAGGGAAGTGTATAAGTAAACTATTTTTAGCAACCTGTCGATCTGTGTGTGCACGCGTGTATCTCAAGTTCGACTGAACCGATTTGATGAAATTTTATATGTAAGTTTATCTCGACCATTGCACGGATTGACCAACTTTTGGGATATATCAAGCCTCGGGAACTGCATACTTGAATTTATATATAGCAATAAATTAATGATTATGAATGAGGGCAATAGGCCGACATTCATAAATGCAATTAAGGAAGAGGTCCTTGACATCACCCTTTGCACTGAATTTATCGGCAGTAGGGTTGGTGGATGACATGTCTCAAATGAGACATCCATGTCCGATCATAGGCAGATTAGGTTTGATATCATGGTCTCCGGGGGCCTGGCAGAAGAAATTTACCGGGTGCCCCAATCCACAGATTGGAGTCAATTCGAAACGCTCCTCATGGATGGGATTGGATCCGTTCCTGCTTCTGTCAGGACGGTGATGGATATCGAACTGGCCAGCGAGGCCCTGACGGCGGCTATTACTAATGCCTATCACGGGAGCTGCCGCGCTAAGCCGAGGCGGAGCAATAGGAAGTTCCCGTGGTGGAATGAAGAGCTTTCAAGGCTTAGACTAAAGACCAGAAAGCTATTCAATAAGGCCAAGGCGTCAGGTTCGTGGGAAGAGTATAAGGACTCACTCACAAAATACAATAAAGAAATTAGGAAAGCGAAGAGAATCTCGTGGAGGGCGTTCTGCAAGGGCATTGATGAACTCCCCAGCAGTGCGCGTCTTCACAGGGTGCTTTCCAAAAAGTATGCTAGCGGGTTGGGCCTAATGGAACGTCCTGATGGCTCCATGACTGAGAACGGAAGGCAGACGTTGGAGCTTATGGCGTCAACGCACTTTCCTGACTCGGAGATTCTTAGGAATTACTCAAATGCGGTCATCGAACCGAGGGCATCCTGGCCCAGGAGAGATGACTGGCAACGCTCCCGCTTAGTCTTCACGATGGGCAGGATTAGATGGGCTGTTTTCTCTTTCAAGCCCTTCAAATCTCCAGGTGATGACGGGATATATCCTGCATTTTTGCAGAGGGGTTTCCAACATATCGCTAGAGCACTGTTGGAAATTTTTCGTGCCAGCTATGCGTGGGGTTACATCCCTCAGGCATGGAGGGTGGCTAAAGTGACGTACATTCCGAAGGTGGGTAAGCGACCAAGCAACCACCCAAGGTCTTTCCGTCCAATCAGCCTTACTTCTTTTCTATTGAAAGCAATGCAAAAAGTGATTGATAGATTTATACGGGACGATGCACTGGGAAGCAATCCCTTGCACGAATCTCAGTACGCCTATCAGTCGGGAAGGTCTACTGTACTCGCTCTGCAGAGTCTGGTGGGGGTCCTTGAAAACTCACTGGAAGTGCGGGAGGTGGTAGTTGGCTGCTTCCTTGATATAGAGGGAGCTTTTGGCAACACCCCATATCATGTCATCTGTGAGCCGTTGCACAAACATGGTGCAAAGGCGTTGAGTTAAACATAAATCCAAGCAAGAGCACTTTGGTCGCCTTCACCAGACGCAGAAGCAGGGACGGATTAACGAGCCCGATTCTGTTTGGTGAACGTATTAGTTACTCGAGGGAGGTGAAGTATCTGGGGGTAACCCTGGATGATCGTCTCTCTTGGAATACCCATATCGATAGAGTTATCGGGAGAGCTACGGTACTTAGGTCGGGTTCGAGCGTGTGGTATGCGGACGGGTCCAAAACGGAGTCGGGTGTGGGTTCGGGCGTATACGGTGTCCGCCCGGACACGCGTGTATATGCAACCCTTGACCCGTATTGCACAGTGTTCCAGGCCGAAATACATGCAATAGAGATCTGTCTGAGAATCAATTTGGAAAGGGGGTATAGAAACCGCACCATCTATGTGTTCTCAGACAGCAGGGCTGCACTGCTGGCGCTCCGTTCAGCTCAGGTTACATCCAAGCTGGTCTGGAGCTGCCTTGCTGCACTTATGGAATTGGCATCGGAAAACAGAGTGATGCTCATTTGGGTGCCGGGCCATAGTGGCCATGCGAGCAACGAAGTTGCCGATGAGTTGGCGCGGAGGGGATCTGGGGCTGCCTTTGTGCAGCCGATGCCTTTCTGTGGTCTGCCTTCTTCCGCCGTGGGGGCCAGGCTTGCCAGCCTACTCGCGGCGGAATGCGGTCGTCACTGGCGGGACACGAAAGGGTGCCCTCATGCGAAGGTGTTTATTCCGGCGTGCTCCGGCGGATTCGCCGCGGAGTTGCTGGGGATGAGCAGGAGCCGGGTTCGCACTATTGCGAATTTCTTCACGGGGCACTGCCCGGTGAAGTACCACCTGCATAGGCTGGGGAAGTCGGGCTCCCCCCTGTGCAGATTTTGTGGGGGTGGCGATGAGACCGCCGTGCACATTCTCTGCGACTGTCCGGCACTGGCTCTGCGACTGTCCGGGACGGGGATATTATAGACGGGAGAGTGGGGTGGCTACAATAAGTCAAAAATGGCTGCGGTGGCTTGGGGGGATGCTCCTGTCCCACTCGGTTCCCTTGGAATCTACATCTACATCTACATTTTTGATCATTTTGAAGAAAATATTCAACCGATTTACTTGAAATTTAATATATAAGCGAAACCTCCTAACTTTTGGAAGAAAGCAAGCGTCAGCAGCTAGACGTTTACTACGGACCAAATGTACTTTTTTGCGTATATAAAGATTATAATTAACCGATCTCATTGAAATTTAATATTTAAATTCCTCGTACTAAAACAATGAACATATAAATTTTTTGGAAAGATCAGGGCTCGAAAACTGATGTGCGGTCGATTTTACATTTGAGTTCTAGTTGTTACCGAAACTAACTGGCGAGCATTTCAGGGAATTCGGGTAGCACAAAGCGAAACTCTACTAAGAGCTAAATTTACATTTTTCTAGGTATGTTCACTATAAGCTTACTAATGTCCTGAAAATTGGAAAGTATTTAACAGACATTTTTATAATATTCTGTAACACTTTTACTTACCTAGACAATACACATTGCGGTCAGTTATATGCGCTGACCACATCAGATTTTTTATTTATAATTATATATGATTAGATATGACATCGTAGATATTTGTTATGTTCATACATATATACATACATGTAAGTATATTAACATACATATTAATATGCCATGTATATTATGTGCATATACATACACTTATGTACATAATATATGCACTTATCCCTGCTCATATTCTTATTTTTGCAGGATGTTTCCGGAAAAGTTGTTCTAATAACAGGCGGTGGTGGTGGAGTAGGTCGATATTTAGCTCTGAATTTTGCAAAACTAAATTCAAGAGTTGTTATATGGGATATAAATTCAGAAGGTAATTTTATTTTTCGCAGGTTTTTTTTATTTTTAGTACAAACAAGTTAATTATTGAAATTAAATTCAAGATTTTGAAATTTATTTTTGTATATAAACAATGTACATATTAAAAGTATATAATATATACATACCTACATTAATTATGTACTTATATACCTACATATATGTATGTACAAAGGTTATGTACATAAGTATATACAAAAATGTGCATATTCAACGTGGCTTATGTTCATATAAAAGAAAGCATAAACATGTGAAAGAAAGCATAAAGAATTCTGTGAACCTACATATACAGTATTGGCCAAAACTAAAGCAACCATCTACTACAATTTTACGTATTTATGCATAAATTTTAAAAATAATATATAGTTCTTGCGTTTAATTTTTTTTAATAAACTAAATACATATAAAGAAAATGGGTAAGTTGAGATAATCTCCCGAAACTTTAATCTGGCTTACACTTCTTTTCTGTTCTTTTTTTGGTACGGCAGCTTCTAAACATTCCTAGCCTATAGTGGTTTTTACTAAGTGGTCCTGCTGTGATGTATTTTTTCTAGGTCTACCTTTAGAACGTTAAACATATATAGTGCCGGTTGATTTATATTTTTTTAATTGCTCGTGAAATTATTGAAAAATTAATTGGAATATTCAGTATTTATTTCATAGCGGGATAATCCCTCTTAAAATTCGTTAACAAGTATTTTTCCTAAACTCACAATATACTTTATTCTAGCCATCATAAAATTAAATACTATATCTAAAAAACTAGTAGTGTATTCATCAACTATTTTTGAATAATTCAATAGAATTTCTGTATAAAATTTACCTAAAAATATTATCAAATACGTTTTGTGAGAAAAATTTTTCAAACATGTTGAATTTACTTTTTCTTTTAGTATTTCCAAGAATAAAATTAAGGGCTCGTACTTTCAAAAACCGGTCGGGTAAAAAAACTTGTTTTGTAACTAGTATTTTTTATGTTTTTAATTTTTTCTTTCTAACATTTGAATAAATAAAAATAATAAGGAAACAAATTTTTAGCTTTTGTTTTTACAGTTTTTTACCAAGAAATATAAATATTGCGTTTGGGGTTGCCTTAGTTTTGGCCAATACTGTACATATACATACTTAGTTTTATGAAATTTAATTATAAACCAATTACCAAATCAAACGAGATTTCTGAATAAATATTTTATTTTAAGGAAATGCACATGAAATTTACTACTACTGTATTAATAAAAGAATATTTTCAATTACCTTTTTTTATTTTAAGCAATTAAAACGACTACAGATCTCTTAACAAGTCATGGATATTCATGTAAAGGATATATTGTAGATATATCCGACAAAGAACAAGTTTATCAAAGTGCTCAATTATTACAAAATGAAATAGGGGCTGTCAATATTTTAGTGAATAATGCAGCTATAGTTTGCTGTAAACCATTTTGGGACTTGCCCGATCGAGTCATAGAGAATACATATAATATAAATGTAATTTCACATTATTGGACAGCAAAAGCATTTTTACCGCAAATGATGGAAAGAAATGATGGCCATATTGTAACAATTGGCTCTGTAACTGGTTTGCTGGGAACATATGGATGTTCAGATTATAGTGCGACAAAGTTTGCTTTAAATGGTTTTCATGAAAGCTTATTCACAGATTTAAGAGCTCATGGTTATAATAATGTACAAATGACACTAGTTTGTCCTTATTATATTAATACAGGTATGTTTAATGGTGTAAGACCAAGACTATTTCCAATGCTAGAACCAGATTATGTAGCTGAAAGAGTAGTAACAGCCGTTAAAAGAAATGAAGTTTGGTGTGTCTTACCAAATCACGTTAGAACTTTATTGCCATTGAAATGGTTAGTAACATTTTATTAAATAATATTCATAATGTAAACAGTACTTTTTTAGTTTCTTACCTTCGAAAATGTGTTGGGAACTAATGTCTAGAGTGATCAGAGGTCCTGATTCAATGATGTTATTTAGAGGACGTGGGAAAGTTCCGGCCGGTTGATAAAAGTTACTTTATTAGTTTTAGTCATAATCTTACAATACGAATTAATTTAGTATATATATACAGGGTGATTCAAAAAGGTATACAACAACATATACCATTGGTTAGAGGGTCGAAAATGGGTAAAACTCTTGTTCCAGACTAGGTGCGAAATCTCGAGGGTTTTCGAGATACAGGGATTTTAACGAATTTTCACGAAATTTCTACTTATCCAAGCTTTTTTGATTAAAACTTCGGTTCCGAAAAAGACAGTTACAGGGATTTTAACGAATTAAAAGATGAATTCGTAAAAATCCCTGTATCTCGGAAACCCCTGAGATTTCACACCTAGTCCGGAACAAAAGTTTTACCTATTTTGACCCTCTAGCCAATGGTATATGTTGTTGTATACCTTTATAAATCACTCTGTGTATAAATATATACATATATATATATTGTATAAATATATATATATATATATATATATATATATATATATATGTACATATTATGATTTATGATTATATTTTTCCAAAAGCTTTCATTTAGTAAATAAAAAGCAAAAAAAATTAAATTTCTTAATTTACAATACGTATTAATAAAAAACCGTTTTTCACCAAGAAAATAACTTGTAACGTTAAGTGTATTTCTTTTTTTCCTTAAAACTTTTTAATATTAAAATTTGCAACATTACAGTACATTTAAAAATTAACACTAAATTAGGCATTTTTTGTGGATATTTATTTTAGAATACATATCATCACATTTGGACGAGAAGATAAAAACGATTTTAGAACAAATCGTAGAAGTAATCCAAACCCTGTCCCATTTCCCAAAGTGACAAGCCAACACCAAGCTCCTCAGCTAGTTTTATTCTGGAATGTAGGGAATGGAGTGTTGGGTAAAACACAATATGACGGCCTGATTGGGTCCTGAACAAAATACAATAAAAATTTTAAAATAATTAAATCTTAACAACGTACTTAACTTCAAAAAAGTTTTCAACATCATGTTCATCATATATTAATCTTTTTTTGACGTGTTTTAATAAATCTAAAAATTGACTGCCTATAATAGCTCCTCCACCATCTGGAGTGTAGTCATATCCGTACATATTAAGTCCCAAAAGAATTTTTTTTCTTTTGACGTCGTAGTTCGACAACGATGTAGGAACAATATTTTCTATTGAGGTTCGCATCCAGTGGAGTGGGGCATTAGCTCCTGTCAATGATACTTTTCATGAAATATAAATTCCATCAAAAACATATTATCATCTTACCAGGTCTTTGCAAAGATGAAAAATCGTAGGTCATCAATGAAAATGCTTGAACATTGTTATATAACTTTTCAAAGTGAACTGAAGAAAACAAATCTTTCATCTGTTCTCTTAACGGCGGAATTACTAAGATTAACTCGTATCCTTCAATTTTAAGAGCATCAGCTAAAAGATTAAGATTTTCAGTATTGGTCTTTTAAACAATTAAAAAAAAAATTCACCTAGCTCTATTATTAATCTATATAAAACATCATCGTCAACTCTTGCAGCTAATTGCATCCATACTTCTAAGACAATACCATCAAATTTGTAATCATGGCATGCTTTTACAATCATTTTGTTGACAGCTTGCCTTTCGCTTGGAAAACTCAATAGCCTATTGTAATCTTTATCGCCGAATTTGTCAAATATTACTCTTGGATAGACTAAAATCGCAAATTACGTTTCATAGCCATTATTATTTTAAAAAATGTATGTTTTTACTTTTTAGAGAGTGATAGTCGGATTTCCCTGCTTTTCTTACATCTTTCATCCAATTTATATCGACATCATGGACACCAGCTAAAATGTACGAGTTTTCCCCTTTTCGAAGAACTTGTAACCAAACAGGTGAAATAATATCAAATTTTTTTCCCCAAATCTTTGCCACATCATATCCATGGTTATTCCACTATCAATGTAAATTTTTTAAGATTGCTAAATAAACCTTCTTGATTTGATGAAATATTTACCGGAGTTATATAGCCCAAAATTGTTCCATTAAAATTTTTTTTTCCCGTGTCTTTGTAATAAGCGGCATTTTCTACAAGGATTTCTTTTGCAGCCGGTTCCTCTTCAACTAAAATTAAATAAAATATACTTTGTAGTCAACCATTAAAAAGAAAATATCCCTTTGGATTGGCATATTACAAAATTTAATTACTTAGGTAGGTAACGTACCTACCCGCCCACGTGCTACATACTGTAATAAACATTTAATACAAATACATAAACATTTCACAATTAGAAACCACTTTCCGTTACAAAAGCCAAATTTCTCAAAATAAAACCAATTGATTTGTCCTAAATTTACTGGTGAACGACTCTTTTTTGGTTTACATACATTGTGTATATAACAAATATGTACCAACTTATAATACAATACATTATTTACATAACACATATGTTATACATAAAATAAATCTTTTTGATTTGTTTCGAATAAATGCAAATATTGCTTGATAAAATGAAAAAGTAAAGGTAATGCATACCTACAAGAGCTTGCTTTATTAAGCTCAATTAAGCTCCAATTCTACAATTATTTTACAAAAATTAATTCTTACCTAAATTTCTTTCATACACATTCAGATCCTGAGGTCCTTTTTTAATTTTTAATTCCTTTTCCTTCGCTTTCTTCTTACTTGGTGCAATAGTAGGGGTTGAAAAATCAATTGAAATGAGAAATAGATAAACACATATTATGAATTTCATTATAGTAATCTGCTTTGCCAACTACATCACATTAATTTTTGAAAACGGCAATGACAAATTAATGTGTTAACTTAAATTAAAGTTATATTCAAATATGCATGTATTCTAGATGAAACTGTGTACGAAAATTGTCAACCCACACATTTCCTATAGGTTTAAAAAAAAAAGGTGCCGTAAATTTTCGTACCGGCTGTCAATAATTTTATTGACATTGACTTTCAGATATAAATTAAAATTCATATGACTGACTGTTAACTGATGAAATATGACTTACGAGTTTAGATGGTATGTAATCTACCAGCAGCGCTGCGAAAAGTAGAGATTTATCTTCAAAATGAAGGTTTTTTGCTCACATTTTCTGAGCAAAACTGCAAAATAACATTTTCAAAAATTTTATATACAAAAGTATCCTCAAAATTGGAATTTTTCAAAGTTAACAAAAAACATTTTGATCAAAAAGTCGATTTAATAAGCAATGTATGGTAACGCCACTTACATGACAAAAAAGTTTTTGATAATTTCCGCTGCAATTAATTCTATATTAAAAGACTTAGCGCAATAATAAATAAGGTTTACAACATTATATTATGTCATTATGCATTGAGTTCCAATAGAAATAGTGATGTTTTGGCTTCCTACTTTTTTTCAATTTAACTTCAACTGAGATCCCGAGGGGTTCATGAAGATTTACTTTTTATCGAAAAGCAACCGCGTCAGTGGGGCCGCTAAGATCTTAAAAAAATCGTGCATCATCATCGAAAACATCAAAGATTATACCTTGACTTTTACTCTTTTGACGTGTACTAAAGGCACTCCTTTTTTTGAATTTATTAAGTTAAATTATAATTGTATTTTTAGCTAAATTACTTTTTTGAAGTATCAATATTTCCCATTTCTTTTTAATTTGGAGTTTTCTTAAATAATCTTGATAGACCTACCGATTTTTATATTAAGAGAAAGTAGCATAAGCGTTGCTTTGCCTGGCTTTTTAAGATGTTCGGTATCATACTGAGTTCATTTTATGGACAATGATGATACTGGAACGAATATTTTTTATATATTATTTTGACTTAGCTTCCTTAACTTTATTTCCTTAAATGAGAGGACTTGATTTCCTTGAATGAGAGGATTCATAGCAGAAAATAAGCCGATACACTAGAAACAAATCAGTGCAATACTTCCATATACACATATGTAGTATATTCGTTTCCCACATACAAATGAAAGTAGCAGTCCCATCATGAAATCTGTTCGTAGCTCCGAAATTCGAAAAATTACGAATTTTATATTCTCAATTCCGAATTACTAAAATTCTAATACGAATATTCATAATATAGTAATATAATTATAAATTACATTCGTAATAAAAATAAATCTCAAAAGTCTACGAAAGAAATAATCTCACGTAACAAACAATTCAAAGAAAGTGGTTGTTTTAAAATTCAAAGTTTTCATTTTTTTTTTGTTTAAATTTGAGTTCTTCCCACACAGCTATCATGAAAGGAGATGATTCCCAATTTGCTAAAAAAATGTTTTCACTTTTTAAAAACACTCAAAAACAAAAAAAAATGGAAAACTCCGTTTTTAAAAGATTGTCTTTTTATGAAACTTGTGTACTCAAATAGCAACAAAAAACATAAATAAGCATTTGAAAGTTAAAACGAAATACTGATTTTGACACTCCGAAAAATTGTGTTCTCATTACCGTTTTATTATTTGTACGAAAAAAGTTTGTGATCATTTAAAAGTCTACGTCGCAGCTAAGTACGTAATTCGTAGAATTCTACGAAGAAATTCCTGATAGTGCTGATAATAAAAATACAAAGAAATTTGTATCAGTTTTTAAATTTACCAATGAAGAAGCTTAAGTAAATAAAATTTGTCAGGCTTTCTAAGAATTCAACTATAAAAAAATTATCATATAACCAACTATAGTCTTGTTTTCAATGCAACCAAATTATAGGCTGTAAAAGTAAGAACATTTAAATTTATTTAAATATTTATTTCTTTGTAATATTCACAAAAAAATAACATATTTTTTTGAGAATATTACAAAAATTTTCTGAAAAAATTAAAATTTACATTGTGGTAAAATGATGAAGTTGGTAGCAATTTTTTAAAAAAATTAAAAATAATAATTTTATTTTATATATATATATATAAATTATATATTATTTTATACATTATATTTATATGTTATATACATATATATATACTTTGAATGGAGAACCTAAATTTAAAAATAATAAAACATTTTTTAAAATACTATTTCAAATTTTTGGAGTTTAAATATTTTGCTTTAAACATATTTGAAGTTGTCTAGTATTGTACGTATTTTTAATTTCTCCTTTTAAATAAAAATGGAAAGCTTATAAGATGCTATAATACTCTGCTCAAATAACTCATAACTGTACAGGTATACGCAAAAGTAATTTCTAATGGTAACTACTTGTTGGTTCTGTTTGCTAAATAGGAAGTAATCGCTACAAAGCAGGTATGTTTTAAGTATTTTGTGATGTAGGATATTTCCAAAACGACTGTATCCTGATGTAACTGTAATCAATGCAACTTAAAAATTAAATGAGTGTGTTTTAGCACACTACTTGTGTATAAAAATTATAATGTTTTTGAGGCGACTTATATCACTTCAACACAATAACGCTGTTGCGTTATCCTTCTCATGCAATTTTAAAGTTTTCAAAATAACGCTGAACATTAAATTTAACCCAGCATTTACACATACAAGTTACTTGCAAGCAAGTTTGTATAATATTAATTGTCAATTAGTTTTTCGAAATGTCAGATTACTTGCTATTATGACGTAGGCGTTTAGCAAGTTAATATTTGAAAATGTCTTTGACAAGAAAACAACTAGCAATATATATAATTGTTTATAAATTTTAGAAACCATAAGTTTGCTAAGTTTAATTTTTTCAAAACAAAATTCAAAAATTTTAAATTAAAAAAAAAAAAAAAATCAAAACAACAAATTTTTTTTTGTGAATTACTCAATATGTCAAATTACTTGCTCAAATTACTGGGAGCAAAATTTTCTTGCAAGTTGAACTGCAAGTAAACAAGCAAGTAGAAATATTTCAATGTGTTAGTAAAATTTTTGTATGTATTGCAACTTTCTTGCAAGTAACTTGTACGTGTAAATGCTGGGTAAGAAAAGAAAATCGGCAACATCCAATAAAAGCTAATTTTTCTTTCCGCTCAATGATTTAATGTAATACATGGTATAATCGAAAAGTAGTCAAAAATGTGTATCCGATGGATGCATTTACCTTGCTGATGCAATATTATTTTGACTTTTTGGTCACTTTCTAAATCATATGTTTTTTGGCGTTTATTTTGAAAAGGTTTTGTATGAAGTATTAAAATTATTAACAATTTAAAATCTATTAATTTTTTTTTTTAATTTCAATTAAGTTTTGGAGATTTTAATATAATGGAATATTTAAAAATATTAATACATAAGAAATTATATATTACTGCATAAAGAAATAATTAGCTATTGAGTTAAAATAATAAATTTTTTGCTTTCAGCTTCCATTTAAAAAACTGCATCAATACAAAATCGCAAAAAAAAGTGATGCACAGCTAATTTTATATGATGCGTATTTTTAACACAAAAATTTAAAGTATTACTGTATAGAGGGCTCTTTTTAACATCATAAATCATCCACAAGATCAACTTTTTTCAAATTTTTAATCAAAAAAAGTTAAAATTCAATCTTTTTCTACTTTACTAGTGTTTACATTGCTAAAGTTTTCTGTTATTAAAACATTAAAAACTCCACGTTCCGTTCATTTTTTTAAGATTTCAATAAATGCTAGTCTGCAAGAAAAAAAATAGTGCAATTTTTCTTTTTCAAAGTATTTAGTTAATTTTCGTGTATTTTTTCAAATTTGAGAAAATGCATATCTCCCAGAATGCATATAGATACAATATATATGTATATATTTATGTACATACATATATGTATATTTTTTTACACATGTTTGTTTTTATATAGGGGATAATTTGAAACAACTTTTATAACGATTATAAAATTATAAAAGCATTTTCATAATAACAAAAATTAAAATCAAATAATTACACGCTTAAATTAAAGTCTAATAAAATTTTTATTAACTTTCTGTTACGTCATATATTCTAAAATATACCACCAAATTTTATTTGCTGTATTATCATTTTTTACTTTCAATTCTTTCACATACTTATGTTGTCTGAGAGAATTGAAAGTAAAAAAATGCGAAAAACTTGAAAATATATTTAATCAAAATTATAGTTAACTTGAAATTTGAATTTTTTATATGTTGTTCAAAAAACACCAAATCTCATTTTAGTATACAAATTTTCAGGTTTTAGTTAACTTTTCGTATAGAAAACTCGAAATGAATATAGGCAAAAATCATTTTCTAAAAAACAACAAAAAAAATGATTGTTCTGCATATGTTAAAATTAGATTTGTATTTCCGTCATGTCGCTAAAATTACATATGCAATTTTACAACTAAATTCACAAAAAAATTAGGGTCCAGGCCTTGATTTTGTCAAGAGAAATACCAAAAGAAGGAGCATTTTGAAAAAAAAAAAACAATGAAGCCAAATTTTTTTTTTTGTTTGTCTCTTTTTTTGCTCCGAGCATTGTCAAAGTTGTAACAGAAGCGTATTTATTTTAATTCTTTGTCTTGCTTGTACTATAAAATAAATATAATTTGTAAGAAAGATAAATTAAAAATTTTTTGAATAAAAAAAACTCATATGTATATAAAAAAAAACAAATTTAAACAAAACTCTTGTCACTAGTTTTGTTTGACAATTTTACTCAACAACTCTAAATAATATTAATAATAATAAATATAAATACATATAAATTTTAATGACTCTAAAACAGTATAATTTTTAATAAATTTCAATTAATATGATGGTTATTACTCGCTGAAGTAGATGATATGTTGTCGTATTTTTCCTTACTCATCAATTTAGGTTCACGTACTAATTCATTCTAGAACAAAATATTTTAGAAGAAAAGTAATCCACGCTAATATTTTATTTTAATTACGGAATTCAACGGCATCGGGCTTCTTCATACAATATTTTTTGGAGACCAAATCTTCACTCTATAAAGAGAAATATATTTTATTTCATCATTTCTGGGAAAGCTGTGATTATACAAAAAAAAGATCAATTTAAAATATTTGTTTGTATGCTACATTTTAGCAAACACAAACTCATTTCGCTTAAAAAAAAACCCCGGTCCTGGTAAAATTATATCATGCGAAGTAATTTTAATTTAAAAATGTTTTAACAAATGTTTTCTTTGCAAAATTAAAAACCTAATAAAATTACAAATTATGAATTAACCAAAGCATTGTTGAATACATTTTTCTTTTAATTATTGAAATGAATAATATTCACTTGTATATGGTGTAAAAAACTATTTGTTTTTGCAAATGGGAATAACAATTTATAACTACATATTATACACTTTTTTCTTTTTCAACAAATTTTTTTACAAATTTTTATAAAATAATATTCTTTTTTTAACAATTATTATTAAATATTTTACGATTTTTTTTTTACAAACTGCAGTAATTTTTTAAATAAAATAACAAAATATTGCGCAATACAGCAGCTGTTGAGTTTCCTGTTACCGCAGTCTAGCTTAAGCTACTCAACGCCATATCTTACCTACAAGTGGTCCCTACTGCTACGCTGAGCAACCCCTGTGAAAAATCTGGTTCCAACTCAGGCGGTGCCTCTATTCCAATAGTTGGCGGCTCCGGGCTGTCGTTTGTCTTGCAGCAAGTGGCTCGCTTTATAAATGTGCATCCAAATTCATTCATTTCGGGCGAATTCGCTAATGACAATACCAGAAATTTCATTCGCATTCATTTCATTCGCTTCGCCGATCAGTATGGGGACCATTATTTTATGTTGGCTTCAAAAATTATTATTTGCCATGCCAGCCATCCTCATTATTAGATTTATAATTTTATCTGATGATGGTAAATTACACATAATACTTTTTACTAAAAATTTCTTTATATGCCAACATATCAAATTTCTAGTAGCAATTTGTTGCTTTATTGATTATTCTACTAAAATTAAAGATTTTCAAAAATACTTTACATTTATTTCTTTTTCATAAATCTTATTGCTGAAAGCTCCACTAGCAGTCCGCCTATAAATGTATACATAATATATGCATGTCTATTACATCTCTTGTACTAACCGGACGGCTATCGGATTAAACTAACTTGACATTTCTGCCGTCAATAAATTAAACTTCTTTTTTGACAAATAATTTTAAGAAATTATTAGCCCTACTCGAAAACCAGGTAAACATAAACAGCTGATGTTATAAAATGAGACATATGTAAAGAAACCAAAATTTATCGTTGGAAGATGTCTTTTATGTCACAGAAATGTAAGGATAAAATATAACTTTAAAAACATAAAAGCATTATTATATATTTTAGTATTATGTGTTCAACTTCCATTATTATATGCTAAGCGTTTTCGTGGTAAAATTAATATTCAACGACCAAGGCAACCACATTATGAGAGGGCTAAGATACTCGCTGTCACTCAACCTATATTTCCAAAGCCCGATTTGAAAAAAAAATGTTTTGAAAAGAACGTAGATGCTTTAAGAGTTAATCCATATGATGAAATAATAGCTAAAGAAGTCTTTAACTGGCTAAATCATTCAAAAATGGTTGGCATTTTTCATCTAAATTCGATAACAAGCGATGAAATTTTTAAAGTCAAGGTAGCTTTACACAAACAAAATATGCATTTAAAAACCTATGGAAAGAAAATCATAGGAAAAGCTGTCGTTGATACAAAATATGAAGCTATTTACCAGCTATTTAATTCTAATCATTGTTTTGTTTTTTCTCCTGAGGAGAAAGTTTCACAATTAGTTAAAATCACCAGAAAAGTCCCGCAAATGATTCTCTTAGCTGGAATAATTCAAGATAGATTATTAAGTCGCAACGAATTTGTCGAATATGCAAAACTACCGGATTTACAGGCAATGAGATGTGAGTTAGTTAATGTTTTAAACATGGTTGGAAATCAAATAATTACTAACTTAGAAAGCCATCAAAAAAATTTAATAAACGTATTGGACGCTTATGCCAAAGGTGAAAATAATACAAACAAAAATATAGAAGAGGATACAAAAGTTTAACAAAAATAAAAAAAAAGTTTAACAAAAGAAGAAGTGGTTCTTTTTTCTATAAATTATATATGCTAAATATAAAAACGTAAACTTTATGTTTGAGTTGCTTTTTTTATTTGTTTAGTTTAGGTTGTTATGAAAAAAGTTAATATAAATCACAAACTTGGAACATACACTTACCATCTAACCTTTTGCGATATCAAAACTTGACAAAAGATTTTAATAGCAAGTATAAAAAAAACCATTTCAAAAGTTTTCTGTCTCACTAAGCAGAAAATGTCTTATAATTTTCCGTGTATAAAAAATCGTAAAACTTTGTCTATATTTATTTTACATGGTTATTCAAAGATGTTAAAATTCTGTTAATTTCAATGTAGTAGGTACACGGCTGATAGAAATGCTTTATTAAGATATTTTTGTGATGTCAAGAGTGAGTAAGGGCATACATATGTATGTATGTAGCCTTAAGTGTAGAAAGTATGGATATAGAATTTATTTAAATAATAATTTTGCTTTGTCCAGGTTTCCGCAGAAATATGTATATGAGTTTGGAAAAGTTTCGATAAACAAATATTTATACGAAAAACGTTAAACATTTATTTTAAATTTTAAAAGGTTTAAAGCATAGAAAAAGAAGTTTAAAGTCTTTGTTTATTTATTACTTATTATTTTTTAACATTTATTATTAGGTACAATTATTCTTTATTGTTTATTTAATGCCATATATAACTATCAGGCCTCCAAGTTGAAATTATTTTCCGAAATTTTGAATCGGGAAAAATTACAAAAACAATTCTTAATGTTTTATGTTTTCGAAGTATCCCGTATGAAATGTTTTTTTATTTTTTTTTGTGAAATTTTTGAGTATTCTTTATAATTTTCATTTTATTTAGTATAGTTTTAAAAGCCATCTATATTATAATTATAATTTTTTTTTTGCTTTTTCCTTCAATTTATTTTTAAATTCTATTTTTTATTCAGAAATTTTACTCTGTAATTCAGTACCCTTCCATTACGAAAACAAGAAAGGTTGTCTGCGCTAAAAATTGCAATTTTTTGGTTTTTAAATGCATTTTTCAGTTGGAACTTACTAACCGATTTTTTTTGAAATTTAAAAAAATATGTAGAAGCAGTAAAGCCAAAAATATTAATCGATTTCCTTTACACAAATAATTTCACCGTCAATTTAAACTCCATATAAATTTGGAATTTATTTTTGATTTGCTCTCTGAGCTTGATGACCTGTAGATATACATACATATGTATATGACATTAGTTTATTGCTTTCCTGAATTAAACAACGTAAATGCAAGCTATTTTGCGGATTCGTGTTTATTAGCTGCATATTTATTATTTTTATTTATTAGATTAAAACTAGTTATTTTTATTAGTTAGAAAAACTATTCAATGATAACATTGTATAATACGAAACAATTTTATAATTTATAATTAAGCATGTAAATTTATTCATAAGATTATAACTTAGGACAAAAACGTTGTAACAAGGATACTTATGTATAAAAATGTAGACATACATACATGTATATATATGTAAATATGTTATTAAAAGCACATCTTACCTGTTGTGATTTAATTCATCTTCGAAATATGTAATTATCCGCAAAAATGTGATAACTTAAAGCTAAGTAAAAAGCTTTTTCTAAATTTATAAAAGACCATGCTTACCACAATTTGTTGACAGTTTACGGTGGAATTTAAAAAACAAATACGTTCTTGCGCAATTAATTTAAGTAAAAAATTACCGTTATCAAGATAAGCGATAAATACGTAACATTTTCTTTTATAATTTATTAAAACTTCGATTAATTCTTGATTAAAATAAAAAAAATATGAAATATGATTAATAAACTAAATTGCAATAATATAAATTTTAAAATTGTACTTGTAATTATTGGAATTATAGTTAATGGTATACTTTCGAACACAAATAAATTAAATTTCTTATTAATTTGAAATTGAGTGAAAGTTTTTTTATCACCTTTTATTTGTTTTTAACGTTCAGTTACGCTTTATCTTTTAGAAATATTAATACGTATTTTATAAAGAAATTATTGTTATTATAATAATAATAATAATTCCTTTATAAAATAAATAAGATATGTGCATACATATATTATAAGTAATTACTCACCTACATGTAATATATATATATTATATATTATTTTTATGTACTACAATTACATGAACATGATATGATTAAGGTTTAGAACGAATATATGAATATAAAAAAATATAACACGCAGAATAATCATTTGAAAAATAGAACTGTTGGAAAACGTAATCAACTAATCACATTTACATTAATTAAAATGGAGATACCAATCTACCAACCTGGTTATTACTAAGGTCAGAAAAAGCATCTAAAAAATTTTCAAAAGATCGTATTTTCGTTACTATTATTTCGAAGCTATGTATAAAACAACATTTAAATGAAAAAATGTTTATGTATATTTGTATTATTTTATTGGGTAAATAATGGGTGTTTTGTTCTTTGATTTTTAGCTTATTTAATTTGAATACTTCTAGTATTCATACAGCTGCATGTTCGTACGTATTAATATGGTTTCATTATAAGAATATTTTCAGGGGAGGAACCAATAAAATAATACGGGAAAACAGAGTAAATATTATGAAAATAGATTAATCCATATTAGCTTTGAAATTTATCTTGTTTTAAAAGCATTTGTCTCAATGAATGATAGAAATATTTCTTTAAATTTTGTGTGGGATTACAAGCAGTTACACTACTCATGTACATATAAGTATGTTCATAATATACATACTTATGTAATTCAGTAATTCAATTTTCAGATATTTTACTTTAATATAACATTATTTTTTGAACTAGTTCATATTTTTTTTTCGTAAGATTGGAAAAACTTATAAAATATTTAAACTATATATACATATGTACTGATATATACATATCTACATACATACATAGGTGCATGTCATTACGTCCAATAACCTAAATTACAATGTGAAACAAATTTCCGCTCTCTTCTGTTATAATAAAAAACTATATGAACATTTTTTTTAATGAATTTCCTCAATGTCATGTTTTTCTTAAAAAAAAGGAATTTCTAAGCTTATGCATATTTTCCGGTTAATATTCGTTTTTCATTTAATCAATATACATATATACGAATGTATATGTACACTTATTTTAGTTGGAAGTAAGTATACGTAATAAAATGATATAAAATCAAAAAGAAAAAAACAAGTAGTGAAACCGGCTGTTAGAAATACATACATATGTATGTATTTTTAACAAGTTTGTATACTATAAAACAATTTTCTATTTTGATTTTTATTATAAGATATGAGTGAAATTTATCTTTTTTTTGATTTTTTTTGTTAATAAATGGTTGTTGCAGCATCCCTAAGACGCGACAAAAATTCATTTGCAATACAATCTGCATGTTCATCCAATATTGCATTTGAATTTATTGCTAAATATTATCATAGTAGTAATTACATAAATAGTGATAATATTATCATATATTTGTGTAATTATGCTCCCATTTCCGTTTAATTACCTACACTTGTAGACATTACGTCAGAAAATTAAAATTCTTATACACATACTTATCTACCTATAGCACTTCATATTCTTTAACCTGTAATAAAATCTGCATGTTGATTTAAAAGTTCATTCTAATTTATTGTACATACATATATGTATGTATATGTATATTGCAGACATCTTTATACATTATAGGAGTTTATGATATATGTATGTATGTATATGCATTATGTGACCCCATTTCACTAGCTACGCTTGTGGGCATGCTTGAATATATTGTATATTATACTATATTTTTATCCTTTAAACTACTGAACAGGCAGTTGTAATATTATAAGTGAATAAGAGCTACATAGGTATATGAAGTTTAATATAAAATTCTGTACAAGAAACTTTTAAATCAAAATAATATTTGATTGCTTGGTATATATTAAACAATCCCTAGTCGTAAATAAATTCATTCCCAAAACAATTTTAATAAAGTTATAATCAAAGTATATCTACTAATAAGTAATTCGACTCGTTCCATTCCGTTAGTTTTTATTTGCATCTTGCTTCCAAATTCTTAAAATATTCCATTTTTTTTTAGAAATAGATGGTAATAAGAGTTGTGTAGGCAAGAAAGAAACAAAATATTGTAAACAAACGAGTGTATCAAAAACATTGAACTAAAATAAAATTAAATTAAGTTAGGTAAAAATTTTGTTATTTTTTTTTTGATAATAACAAAATTTATTTTTCATTTTATAAAATTTAGGTAAAAAATTCGATATTTCCCGATTCGATATATTTCCCGGTAATAATTATATTTCATAAAGTAATCAGTATGCATACACCTTTTTTTCTTTATAAATTACTTTATTTCTATGTCACTACCTGATACTATGTATCTACTGTACCAGGTACATGCATGTGTACATTCATACATGAAATTTCAAACTCTTTTGCTTTCATACATTCGAAGTTTTATAAAATGAAAAATAAATTTTGTTATTATCAAAATAAAAATAACAAGATTTTTACCTAACTTAATTTTAGTTCAATGTTTTTGATACACTCGTTTGTTTACAATATTTTGTTTCTTTCTTGCGTACACAACTCTTATTACCATCTATTTCTACAAAAAAAATGGAATATTTTAAGAATTTGGAAACAAGATGCAAACGAAAACTAACGGAATGGAACGAGTCGAATTACTTATTAGTAGATATACTTTGGTCGAACTACTTGTTAGTAGATATACTTTGGTTATAATTTGTTGTGTTCTAAACATGCATAAATTCTTTCATATATGTATGTACATGTGTAGATTTAAAAGTATTAAGTAAATGCCTCTGAATTCTTGTAAAAAGTGTACATACTTATATGTATGTTCCTGTATTTCCATATGTATATGTATGTATGTGCATATTTTATTTTTAAACTGTAAAAAAAATTATTTATGAAAGAAATTACACAAAATGCGCATATTTGACAAAAAAATTTGTTATTTCAACACAGACTTTCTAAAAACTATCAGCTTTATTATTTTAGTGTAAAATTTTGTCATAAAAAAATGTAACATTCGACGGCTCCAAATAGAACTACATACATATACAATAAAAGTTTTCCCCGTTTCTGCGAATGCTCTATAACTTTGTGCATGTACCCACAAATTTTTGTAAACCTAGCTTTAATAGAAATTCAACAAATATAAAAAAAACTTTTGTTGTAAGTTGCTCAAGAGGCTTTCAAATATTGTATTTGCACTTGCGGAAGCTAAATTTCTGGAACATTATTCTAAAGTGATTTAAGTACATTAATAAGATATCGATTTACGATAGTAAAACTTTTATTATTTGTTTATCTACATCCAAATATTAAATTTTTGTTAAAAGAGTTATTATTTTCATAAAAAATGCATTTGTTCTAACTCTTCTTGAATTTGAAAACAATGCTTTTCATGATGTTGTATTTATACATACATAGAACAATAAGCATACTATAATATTTTACAATAAATGTTGCAAATCGAAATAAACTAATATCCCAAAGATTTTCTAAAATATTTTTTATCGTAAGTACAAATACACTAGAAATGCTATTTACTTCGCGGTTGTATGTCGACTTACAGGGTAAATTGCCATTTTTATGATTATTAAAAAGAGAAAAGTCTAATTTTGAATAGTTTAATTAAAATAAAAAAAATATAAATTTTTGGCAGGACCTATTAAGAAAATTATTTCCAATATTTTGACTTTTATTTCAATGCGATACCTTTACTTATACAAAATGAGAAGTTATTTTGTTCTCCTAAAAACCTATTTTTTTGAAAATCAATAGTTGTATCCGGAACCGTCGATTTATTGTAACTTACAGTATTAACTTTAAACTGTTTTTAATTATTGCTTTCAAAACGCAGTTACCGTAACAACTAATCTTTATGTACAAAACTATGTATCTTTTTCAGTAAATTGTAGTGCTGTTCACAAAAAAAGATTTAAAAACGTTATAACATGCATAGATGATGGAAAATATTACAGAAATCCTAAAAGACCAGTACACAAGATGTGGACCAATTCTGAATGTGCAAAGTATTATGTATGCATTGAGGACGAAGTTATCGAATTTACGTGTTCAGAGGGTTTGTTATTTGATGTTGTAAGACAAATTTGTGATTTTAAGCAAAATGTCGACAACTGTGATATCACAGAAGGTATTTATCATTACCTATATTCATCATATATTATACTATACTTTAAAGAATAAATTAAAAACCTTCTAGAGGTAAAAATTCCCAAACCCTTGCTTAAAAGTGCGAAATGTGATAAAAGGAATAAACAATTGGGTTGTGCAGATGGCACATGTTTACCTGGAGAATATTTTTGTGACGGATCTGTTGACTGTCCAGACGGTTCTGATGAAGTAAAATTATTTTTTTTTTATTAAATTTTTTGACAATTTCTTTTGAATTACTTTAGGGATGGTGCGATTCACAAAAAGATCCAAATACCCCCGACGATTGCGATTCTGTAAAATGCAAATTACCATTTTGCCATTGTTCAAAAGACGGGACAGATATACCTGGAAATCTTAATGTAAAACAAGTTCCACAAATGATTCTTCTTACATTTGATGATTCAATAAGTTTTGATAACTGGGAATTATACTCAAAAGTTTTATTGACACAAAATCGTAAAAATCCAAATGGGTGTTCAATTAAAGCAACATTTTATGTTTCACATCAATATACAAATTATCAGTTTGTGCAGAAACTTTGGAACGATGGTCATGAAATAGCTGTTCACTCTATAACGTACAAATTTTTTCTTACTTCTAATCATTTTAAAATAATAACAAATATTTCTTTAATTTTCATTATATTGTTTTTGAATTTTCAAATAATAGACATCGAGATTCTGGTACTTGGTGGTCTTATAATGCTACAATTGAAGATTGGTTCGATGAAATGGTCGGTCAAGCCAATATTCTTAATAAGTTTGCAAACATTCGTATGAATGAAATACGTGGGATGAGAGTGCCCTATCAAAAAGTTGGGTGGAATCGGCAATTTTTAATGATGAAAGAATTTGGTTTTGTTTATGATTCATCTATTGTTGCTCCATATTCCAATCCGCCTTTATGGCCTTATACAATGGACTTTAAAATGCCACACTCGTGTTTAGGAGCGAAACAAAATTGTCCAACTAGAAGTTACCCAGGTATATGGGAAATGGTAATCAATCAAATGGAAGGTGGAGATTACACTTGCGGTAAGGTAATTTACACAAATTTATTTAATTTTATACTAGCTTTTTAATTTAGGAACTATCGACACTTGTCCACCTCATTTTGATGGGGAAGATATTTACAAAATGTTAACACATAACTTTAAAAGACACTATCTTACTAATAGAGCACCTTTTGGACTATTTTTCGAATCGACTTGGTTTAAAAAAATTGTATATCTCAACGCATTTTTGGTAGGATCATTTTACTAACGAGATTTTTAAATTTTTCTTAAGTCTAACGACAAGTGATTTTTTTTTAATAGAAATTCATGGAAGATATAAGAAAACTACCAGATGTTTACTTCGTAACAAATTATCAAGCTATTCAGTGGATTCGCAACCCGACTCCGATTAATGAACTTTACAGTTTCAAACATTGGGGTTGCAGTGATCCTAAAGTTCTACATGAAAATGAATTGGCTTGTGAAGTACCAAATATCTGCAAACTTAACAGTAAAATTTTGCAAGAGGAACGTTATTTTCATACTTGTACCGAATGCCCACCGCATTATCCATGGATCAGAAATGAATTTGGGCTTTATTAACATTACGTTTTGATGTTGTTTTGTAATCTTACCTTAGTTATTTATTTTCATTATAATATACACAAATTATTTATTTGCTTTTTAAAAATGTGTTTTGAATGATATTGACACTTTATGCATCCTGAGTAATGAACGGGTTTTGTATAGGTTCCATGCCGTCCTGTGGGCAAATTAACACTACGGAGGTACCTCTACAAACAACTAATCCTAGATTCCTAGTTTCATCCGCTAATTTGAATGGTTCATCAGGATCTCGAAGATATTCGACTGTATTATCAAGCACTAAATTTAATAAAGGATCATATCCTTTTAAAACTCCTGCTGCTTCTCTGCCTCCAGCAAATTTTACTCTAATATTTTTTTCCAAATATTTTGAAAGGTCAAGAATTGATTCTTTTCTACGCTTTTCTTTATTATCCGTACCCTTAAAAAAACAGAAAAATTAAATCAATCACAAAAATGCAAGAAAATTTTAAATACCTTAGTTTTTTCTGCCATATTTTTTATTGTAATTTCTTCAAAAGCGGTTTAATGTTTGTAAACAAAATTGTAGGAACACTTTTTTTTCAATTGTAGGAAACACAATTGAGTGACATATAGCAACTCAAACCCTTCAACACATTCCACACTACGGCTGACATGAATACATGCTTGTTATTAAATACGTACATACCTTAACATAGCATGATAAATAACTGTCAGTTGTGTTAAATACTGATATTTTTATTATTTTGCACACTCCAATTGTTTTTTCTGTTTTTTGCGACACTACAAATTTGTCAAATAAAATTGTGATAAAAAAAACGAATGCCACAATATCTGTGTAATTGCATTTTGATATGTATGTATTTAAAGCTTCATTTCATTATTATTGAATTATGCGCTTTTAATATTTAATTATGTAAATATATTGAAACTAAACATAAAATTAACCTTCGTTATACATAATTTTACATTACATTATTTATTCTATTATCAATAATTCTTTCAAACATACATTCAGTTCAAAATGGTAGCGAAGTGGAAAACTTCATTGCGTAATGTAACAGCAACTAATATGTATATCTATTTTTAATCAGGGTACATTATAAATTTTAAAACTAACCTCGTGTCTCATTATTTTTTAACATATGATTTATATGATGTCAATAATTATTTTATTTCATTTGTATGAAATGTGGCAAACCTTTTATATGAGTGTTTGTTTTGTAATTCTCTAACTAGTTGAGAATGCTGCACAGCCCCTTCATAACGATAGTATTGAAATATTAGCTGGCCGTCAGGAACTCAAATATAACTCAGTTGTTTTCTTAATTTTTGTTTCATGAAGGGACGTGGTGTCAACTTCTTTCAAAATTTAAACTTCAGTACAGTACAGGATTATATAAATTAAATAACATTGATAATTGCAATATATAATTTTGGCTAAGATTAATAATAAAAAAAGAACTTACATATTATACTTATAAAAACTTTTTATGGAAAAGTTTACCATAATTTCAGTTTCATTTCTGACTTCTACCTCCTATTAGTAGCAGAGTATTGGCAAACCCACATTAGAAATTTTTTTCTGAAATTTCATTGTTATGTTTGAAGTAAGTGATATAAGTAATATATTTCGATAGATATTTTCTTCCAGTTTCAATTCAAATTTTCTCTCATTAAACACACTTGTATTGAATCTTGTTGATGTTTTTTTTTGTTCTTCAAATTTTTTACACTCTAAAAATTTCGTTCTCAGATGACCTAACGACTATTCCAGTTTTAATAAAAAACGAATCCGAACTTCATGATGTAAAAAATGTATCAATTGACAGTTAAGCGTGAACGCTGTTTTTCATGCTCTAGAAATGCCCACAAAAGGCTTTTCATATATATTCCAAATTTATATGCCACCTTTATGTATTGATCTCGGCTTAACCAGAAATTAGTAGCTTTAAGATGAATTTAATATTTTTTGGTTCTTTCACTAGTCAAAAATGAAAATATCCCTAATAATAAAGAAGAATGTAAAGTATTAGCATATTGATAGCAGCATTCAAAGTAAAATAGTACAAAAATTTTGGCTGGAGAGCCGAAGAAAAAATATTCAATACAAAAATCTGTAATCCAATATTTGATAGTATTCAAATTTCGTACAGCGAATTTATGTTTGCTGACGTAAATTCTAGTTCGTTTCTTGCAAATACTTTACGATAATTAACTTTATTAGAAATTATGTTAATCATTTTTCAGAACGACGCATTCTAATACATACGTTTTTCTATTTTTAACGGAACATATTTTTTATTCCGCTCTACCAGTCTAAATTTATTCCGTCTTTGTACATAATATTCAACTTTTTTACGTTTGTGATTTATTTAATTGAGAAATATTTTTATCTTAATATTAATAACCTAGATCAAGCTACCTGCGATCTGCGGATTATAAATATTTTGGGACTCTATTTCAAAGAAATTTCCCTACGTATTTTTTTGAAAAATTCCAAAATGCAAATGTACGTAAATATTGTTTTTTCAATGTTTCAAAATATGTTAGTTTTTGAATTACTAAATATGACATAACTTATAATTAAAATATTTTGAATGGTTAATACCACGATAACAGAAATACAGGCCTAGACCCTAAGAAAGAATGAAATCTTAAAAAAACGTTCCGTTAATTTTTTTAAAATGTCATTAAATGCTACACTACAGGAAAAAAAATAGGGCAATTTTGTTTAACGAAGTATTTAGTTAATTTTGGTGTATTTTTTTAAATTTGAGAAATATACATTCGATATTAACGAGTTTGCTTATTTTGTATGATATGCCTTCCAAAATTCATATAGATATATACGTATAATTACATACATATATATCTATATATTTTTTTATGTGTATACTATATTAATTAAACTTATATGCTCCATAATTTATAAAAATTACTGCACATGTAAGTTCTTTTTATATTAAAAGTCCATATAATTTTTTTTAAGTATGTATGTGATTATAGTTAGATTAGGAATTATTTTCACATTGTTAGTAAGTTTTTATATAGGGAACAACTTGAAAAGACGCATCTTTTATAACGATTATAAAATTTTAAAAGCACTTTCATAATTATAAAACTTAAAATTAAATAATTACAAGTTTAAATTAAAATCTAATCAAATTTTTATTAACTTTATTTTAAGCCGTGTATTCTAGACTAAAAAATATAACACCAAATTTTAAAAAAATTATAGTTAAAATTTTGAGTTGAAATTTGAATTTTTGATATATTGTTCATAAAACTCCAAATTTCATACTAGTATAAATTTTTAGGTTTTAGTCAACTTTTCGTATAGAAAACTCGAAATGAAAATAGACAAAAATCATAACTTTTCTAAAAAAAACAACAAAGAAAAAATTATACTTCAGAAATGTCATTTCGCCCAATAAACATATGTAATTTTACAAAATGTTCACAAAAAAGCAGCGTTCGGGCTTAATTTTTTTTTAATGTCAAGGTTAATACATAAACATACATGGAAATGTATAACAAATTTAAAAGAATAAGTCTGATAGGAGAAATTTTTTAAAAACTTTATAAAGTTTTTGCATGCAAACTGTCTGGGATAATACTTTTTGAACAAAAATAAGAGAAAATGATGACATTCTCATTTTCTCAATGTTTAAAGTTTGTTCAAGTTTTGTAAAGTAAAATTTAGTGTTTTAAAAACTTTTCAAATCTTACAGAAGTCGAAGCATATGTTTTCTTGGTTATTTCAGAAGGTTTTATTTTTGGAAAAAAAATATATTCATCAACAATATTTTTTTCTCAAAACGTTTCAAACTTTTCAATTAAAAATAAAATAAAATGAACAAAATAGGTTTTTTCTAAGTTTCACACTTTTATAATCCAAAATCAAAATTTTCGTTTTTTGGTATAACCAAAATATATTTGTTTATGTTTATAAAATTTATAAAAATAAATACACAATTACATAGGTACACCTACATATCCCCAGGATAAGTGCAAGTATACTAGCGATTTATTAAAACAGTTTACGAAACAAAGATTTATAATATGCAATTAAACTTTAACAAAGTTACTTAGTTTACTAAATCTTAAAATATTAAAAAAAATGTCGTAAATTGTTTTTTTAATTGTTATTACACTTTTACGAATTACGAAAATAATATATTAAAAAAGTAACTAAGGTTTGGTAGGAAACCAACTGTAGTTATTTTTGTAACACTGGCACATTATTCTTGCTCTCACCTTGTAAAAAAAACAATTATTTATGTAAATATGTCAGCATAGATCAAACATTAATGGATTTGTATGTACATGCATATGCATGTATCTACTTAATTATAATATCAGTCGAAAAATCAAATTTAAACATCGAATTCATGCATATTTTTCAAAGAAGAACTGAAATAACTATTTTGTATTAGTTGTCCAAATAAAATTTTAAAAATGAAATCAAATTCTCTTGTTCTTAGAAATTTGTTTGTACTACATCTATGTACATTGTACATATGTATGTCTATAGTAAATATCGATTTCCAAATGCTAATGTAATGGCATTTTTAAAACGTAGTCAAACTATTGAAAAAAAATGGGGAGATTGTTTTTAAAAAATTTACATATGTATGTAAATTCAAGAACAATACATATGTACATGCATACAATGAAATATGCATTCCAAAATTTAACTGAAAAACTTCAAAACCATAAATGTGAAATACATATGTATGCAATAAATTAAGTTTAATGAATTTGAACCAAAGACTCATAATATATTTAACGTATTTAAATATATGGGCCTTTACATAAACAAAATTTAAGTCCTGTGCATATAATCAATTTAAATATATAAGTGCCTGTATGTCCATACATATAATAAATAATAAAACGGTATCTATGTACGTTTGATTACAATACCTTAAACGTTTATAAACTGTAAATTTTGTTTGATTATTGGAAAAGTCAAAATTTTTGACGTGGTACAAATTTTTACACTTCAAATTATGGTTCTTCATCAAAATGACCCTTTTTTCTCTTGTGAGCAGATAATCCAGCAGATTGAAAAAATCTTTCCCCGCAAACGGTACAAATATACTTTTTTGTTCCAGAATGTAGTAATTTATGCTGGCTTAAAATAGAAGGTTTAGAAAATTTTGCATTGCATACTTTGCACGCATAAGGTTTTTCTCCTGTATGAGTAAAAATATGATATCTTAAAAGTCTCCTTTGATGAAATGAACGGTTACATATGTTACACACATACGGCAAATTTCCTTTATCCATATGTATGCTTTTTACATGTCTTGTCATCTCTCCAGCATTTGCAAATTTATTTTCACATTCCTTGCACTTAAACGGCAGTTTCTCTAAAAATGCAACAAACCAAGCCATTGTAATAATTAAAAAAAATTCAATTAAATTTTTTGTAACGAACCTGCTCGGTTATGTGATCTTTCATGTTTTAACCTACTGATCCAGGATTTAAATCCAGCATTACAATCATCGACTCGACATATGTATGGTCTTATATCTTGATGATAACGGGAATTGTGTACATTCAAATTGTAAATTGATATAAATGATTTATTACAACTTGTACAAGCAAATGGCCTTTCACCTGTGTGCTTTCGAATATGTTGTTCAAAGTGGCTTTTATGAAGAAAATCTTGTCCACAATATTTACAAGAATAATATTTACCTTTGTATTGATCTCTATGATTTTTTAAAACATGTCGGTCACGATAGCTTGTTTTGACGAAGGTTTCCAAACATACGTAGCACCTGAGTTTATTTATTTTGAATGGCACTTGTTTTATATTGCCGGCATTAATTTTAACTGAAGCATCCTCCGTATCCTCAGCTGAAATATCTTTTATAAATATGTTAACTTCATGATCTTGAGGATTATATTCTCGAAATTCTATTTCAAATTTATTTTTATCATTTTCTGTTATATTTTGATTTTCAATTTTTTTATCTGCTAACTCGACTTCATTTTCTGTGCAATTTCCAAAGTAGTTAAAATGTTGTTCTAGATGATTTTTACCAAAAAATACACTATAATCAATAAATCTTTCATCACATAAGTTGCAGTATAATTCAAATCTTCCAGATTCTGAAAAATATATCTCGCCACATTTTTCATAATGTTCATAATCTTCTGTTTCGAAATTCATATCACTATCAGAAAATTGAATATATCCATTTAATTCACATAGCTTTCCCATAATATAAAGTAATATTTAATGAAAATAATATTTGAAATAATTTCTCGCAACCGTATTTGGTTTAAATTTTTTAAGTATATAAAAAAGAAAAACTCTGTAAAAGGAAAGAAATAAATAATTTTATTATTTGTTTTTATCATTCACATTTCCCATTTTATTTTATAAATAAAAGGCAGATTTACTGTTGTTCGTTGAAATTCGTTGTTAAATACAATTGTATGTATTACAATATACACACATTTTTCTATACACACGATCACTCAATAATAGTTAATTTTATTCTTATTTAAAGAAGTGAAACGTTATTTACATAACGTACATTATCAAAATATTTTTCGACTTGAGAAATAAAGAGAATTATTGTTAAACATACATATGTAGTTACGTAGTACACAAATAAATTTATGTATAACTTGTTGGCACGGGGTAAATTATTTTGGGTTGAAGCGAGTGCTACATAAAAATACAGAATTTTTAATCATTTATCACCACACTAATATACTTTTCTAAATCATTTTCATTGTACATTTGAATAATATATAAGTAGATACTATTCAATTTTTAAAGCTCGCTTTTTGTACACATATGCATGTGTGTGCATGCGTTTTATATGCACATACACTTATGCAATAATAAAAACTTATTTATGTTCTAGAGAAAGTCATTAACATATAATACATATACACATTCATTACAACATAACGTGTCAATAATAAAGTAGCTAAATTCATAGTAATTAAAAATTCACTGTAATTAAATTTTTAAATTCTAACCATTTAGTTGAATTAAAAGTTAATTAGAATTTTTTTATTTTTTCATATTATATTTTGTAAAAAAAACATTTAGCTAAATATATTTAGTTACTATATGTATGTACGTTTTCAATTAATCTATTTAATTCAGAGTGATTCAATACAAAATATTAAATGTTTGAGATTCTAGAAATTAATTTCACTGTGCAATTTCTCATTAAATAATTTCAAAAATTAAATAACAAGGGATTGAAAATTAAATTAAATTATTTAAAATTATTTGTATAAATTTAAAACATATTTGTTGTGCTGTTAAAATTTTATGTTATTCTAATAATAATTTTTATTTCACCTGCTTTTTTTACAACTTTAGAATTTATATCTAGTTGTACTACAGAATATGGATTAAATAATTTCTCTTGCTGGTTCTCTCTAAATTTTCTTTCATTCGCAATGAATTTTGTTTTTGTATTATCATCTGATCATCCAATAGTACATTGCTCTTGAAAAAGATGACGTTTTAAAATAAATAAAGTAGCTTCGGTTTGGTTAATTTTCTTTTTATACCCTGCACCTTCGTGAAGGGTATATTGGCTATGATATGGAGTTTGTAACTACTTCAAGGGTTTAGCTGCGGTACGGACATATATATTCTTACACAGCATAAAATTCTGTGTTGATTTGGACATGTCCTTTCGTCCGTCCGTCCGATCGCACGGTAACTCAAAAACGAATAGTTCAATCGACACCAAACTTTCACATATTGTTTCTATTGTGTCAAGGACGAACCCAATTGTAACTGGACCAATTCGCCCAGTGGGTTCGGGTATACCCCAGTGGGTTGCTAAACAACTCAAAGATTTTATTTTAAATATTTGAAAAACTAATAAAGGTATAAATATGAAATTTTGTACACGTGTGTCCAATTTCGTTTTACATATGCTCTAAAAATTTTAATAGAATGGCTGCGCCGGTTCGGGTGGATGTTATAAAAATCCGAAAGCGAATTTAAATAGAAAAACAATAAAGTCAAAAAAATTTAAACAATAATGGTCGGATACATTTTTGAAGTTTTTTTTGAATTGCTTGACAGGTTCGGGTTCCTGCCATACAACTCCAAAGGCTAATTTTAAATATTTGGAAAAATAAAGTCAGACTAATGAAACTTGGTAGCCATGTGTCCAATTATAGGTCAGATATATTCTTGAAGTTTTGGTTGAATCGCTGTTCAGATACCTGTCATACATCTTCAAAAACTAATTTTAAATATTTAGAAAAAGAATAGAGTCTATTCATGACACTTGGCAGTCGAGTGTCCAATTATACGCTGTTATATTTCTGAAGTTTTGGTGGAATTTGGAAGTTTCGGGTAGCCGCAATACAATTCCAAAAGCTAATCTTAAATATTTGGAAAAAAATTAAAGTCAGGTTCGCAAAAATTGGTAGTTGTGTGTCCAACTATAGGTCACACATATCCGAGAAGTTTCTATAGAATGATTTCACATATTCAAGTAATTGTTATACAACAATGAAAAGTGCAGGGTATACTTCAATCGGTTTATACCGACTGAAACATTTTTACTTGCTATTATTCTTATGAGTATAGGAAGTGAAGTACCTATATATATATATAAATCCATACATTTGGTACATATAAACGGATTGAAATTTATTAACATATTGTATAAATACAGTATGCACATATATTTGTATAAGTATGTATATGTAAGTAGGTATTTATGTTCGTATTATTTCTTTCAATTAGCAGCAAATGAGTTTAAGAATAAAATTTTGTTATTGTGATGGATAAAAAATTTGTGAGGATATGTAGATACTCAGAGATATTATATACGGTTTTTACTATATTAAACAATTCCTTATTTAGTTGAATATACTAAGTGGTTATGAAGCCCAAAATTATGTATGTGATAAATATTATGTATATACATATGTATGTATATTTGTACTACATTTACATGCCGTACTTATTCTTAGTGAAATCTTAGTTGTTTTTTGTTGATTAAAGTAATATTTACATACATACATACATATGTAAATCTGTATTCCAAAGCAAAAAAAAATCTGTACTTACACGTTCACCTAACGTACATATATGTATTTTATACATATATTATAATATATATATAATTGATATGTGTACATACATACATATGTAATTCAAAATTACATAAATATGACATATGTAGGCATATACGGTTAATTATGGGTGCGGCCATTTTTTATATCGTAACTTAAGGTTTGTTAACATACAACATACAAAAATTTAAGCATGTTGTATGTATTTTATAATTAAAATTTTATTTTTAAACACACAAACGTACTTACATACATACTTATTTCATCAACTTCCAATGGATCACTCAATTCCGTTCCACTGGATCTAGTTCAAAAATTTTTGTATACCCAAATTTAGAAAAAAACAGAACATGGCACAAAATACTAAGTCGTTTTACTTCCATATTGGATAATTATATTTCACAAGCAGAAAAATTTCTTTTCTGAACTACATTATGTATGTATCAACCTGAACTACATTATGTATGTAAGTCCCGATAATTAATTACCGTCTTTTGTACATACATATGTGTTTATATTCAAATTCCAAATTTTAAAACAAAACATTACCAAAAATTTTTGAAAAGTTGTTCTATACTGATCTCTGCAAGATTAAAGAAACATTAAAACTTTATAAAACCTAAATTATGAAAACATTGAGCATTAGCATTTCTAAGCTAAGTGGTAGGTTTGTATGTACATCCTTAAGTATATTACCATTAGTATTAAAATGCTGCATAATAAAGGTTATTGAAAGTCAATTGGTTGAAAATGAAAAAGAAAATCAGAAAACCAAAAGAAACTATTGTTGGAATTTCGGAAATTAAAGTCACATTTAATACATACATATGTAAAAAAATTTAAATTAAACAATTAAAAAAAGAATTACAATACATAATTTTTCAGTTATAATGTAATTATAACAAATATATAAATGTATATAGCCCATATATGTATTCCAAATCCACTTTATTTTAATCGAAAAAAGAAGCTTGTTAAGAAACAATTAAGATTTTTAAGAATAAATAAAAACAATTACAAGTAAGTTTTGCAACAATTTATGTACATTGCATGAAGAAATTCTACTTAAGCATAGTACTTAAGTATTAATGATTTCCTGAGCAGAAACCGAGTTTTACCACATTTCCACAGGTAATACATTTTATTTCTGAAGTGTCTTCCCAAATATTACCTAAAAATGAGTTTTTAAAAATTTCAAGCAATTTCATTTAGAAATGTCACTTACCACGGCATAATATGTTAAGCTGACAAAGTGACATTGCATTACGTATAAATACTAAAAGCAGTCATGTGTACATAGTGTTACTATATTATGTATCCAATATACATAACATAAATTTTACCACGGCTGAATAGAATGTAAACAAGGCAATGTAAAGAGTCCTTGTCAAATTGCCATTAAAACTGTAACGTATCGTTATAAAATTTTTAGTCAACAAAATAATATTCTCACAATTTTAATTTATGTTGAATGATGTTGGTAGTATATTGGTGAACAGTGATTTCACAATATGGCTTATTTTTAATAACAATTATTCGTTATACAAAGCATTTCAACAACTTGTTTTTATTAATTTTCAAATATACATATTAAAAACCTATTTATTTAATTTAAATACGTTCATTTGATACATTTTTTTATACAAAAGATCATCTCTGTTTATAATTTTTTATAAAATGAAAAACAGCTTGGCAACCAAATGTGGCCCAGTTCTACTTTGTTCCATTTGTCAAATTTCAAACTACACCGACTAAATTAAAATTTCATTTAATTCAACGACATTGATAATTTGTTTTTGTAATATGTAGTCGTTGTACTTGTTGTTCTCATTGAGCGTTTGTCTGAAGACAAATAATAGAAATTACTCTATTCGCTGTCAAATTTAAAAAAAAAATCGCCACACATTAGTTTCTGATGGTGTCAAAAACAAACAGAACAGCAAAATACTGAACAGTTTTATTTTGTCGTTCCGCTATTGTTCTGACGCATAATAACCTACTGATTTGATTTATTCTTAACAATACATGAGCTTTTTGAACGATTTTTTCTACTTGTTTCTTTCTGCTTGCAGAAAGTCTGAAATTAATTACGTAAATAATTTTAGCCAACGAAAACATAAATAAAGCACTATAAGGGAAATTTGACATAAAGTTGTCACGCCTTAGCTATATATTCTTTGTGTTTACACGACATCTCGTGACGTCTGATGCAGGTTAGATGATGATAGAACTGATTGCTTTTTATAAATATGTGCTTTTTATTGCAAAAAGCAGTAACAAAATAATATTTATGCATAAGGTTTAATTACAGATTTTATATGGAAAAAATCGTAAAAATAAAATATGTTTTGCAGAACATTTTACAAAACATATCATCATGTTTTCCTGTTGTGAATGATTTATTTTTCAGATTTTTTTCTCAAATCAAAGGAAATTTTTAAAGAAACTCAAAAAAATTTTTATCTACAATACTCAAAAAAATTTAAATCCACATTACTTTTTTGTAAATTGAAATTCAAAAATATTTCAACCATAAAAATGACATAAGTAACAAAACTATTTTTTTGATTATAACAAATACAAAATATTTTTTTCAAAATTTTTAAATAGATTGTAGATTTGTAGATTTGTTCAACGGGTGCAAAAATTTGAAATAAACAAAATAAGTGTATGCATAAGTGTATGCACTCGAATTAGTACCTTATGTAGTTTGAATCCAATTTTCTATAACATATTATTCTCCTGTAGTCTGAATGTAGGGCATGAGAAAAAAGAATATGTATTTAATGAAATACTTCGTTTATTTATACAACATTATATAACACATTGCACAACACACGGAAGCAGATATTGTCAAAAAAGATCGCCAGCTGTAAATAGGATTTTAAGCTATTTTACCAATGTCGGTTAAATTCATGTTGGTAATTTCACTTCATTTCTGTACCAGTTCCATTAACATAGGTGTATTTGAAATTCATTATGATATTTGCCGCGGAATAATGTTCTTGTTCTGCTTTCACCTTAAATTATTGATCGTTGTGTGCGGCAAAAATTGATTCGATGAACGGGCTTATTTTCATATCTTTAACTTTCATTCCTACGGCAAGTTGTTTATTTATGCTGTCAGAATAAGACAGCGAAATAATATACATACTACATGATCGAAGTAGAGATTTTATTTTTTTTTAGTTTTAAAACAAATTCAGCTTTATAAGCAGAAGATACTGCAATTATTGGTGAATAAAAATTTTATACATTATTTGTTAAGAGTAAGGACCAATTTTGTTTTTTGCAGATTCCGAAAATGAGTGCAAATACTAATGAATCTGATTTACAAAAAGAATATGAAGCTGCTTTGATAGGGCATATAGCAAGGAGGCAGTTTATGTACGACACTACTCATGAACATTATACTAAACTACACCTTCGTCGTGATGCTTGGCAAGAAATTGCAAGAGACTTGAATCGAACAGGTAAAAAGTTGAATTTTAAACTATTTTTATTAAGAAAGTTGATTTCTAGTGAAAGAACTTAAAAACAAGTGGGAAGCGTTAAGATATAGCTATAGAAAATATTATAGGAAGATAAACAACCGATTAAGTGAAGGAAAGAGTGTAGTAAAATGGGTTCACTATGAAAGGATGCAATTTCTCAACGGTCACATAAAATTGTGAGTTATTTTATTTTTCAAAATTACAGGTACATTTTTTTGTAAACCATAGCATCAAAATAACAAAAAATTTTAGAGAAGAGATTTTACCATCTGAAGAAGCAGAGATACAAAAGGAGTTTGATTCAAGATTAATCAAGGAGATTGAAGGCAAAACGTGTTTATACGACCCGATGAGTGAGTATTTTGCAAATATGAAGGTTAGAACGGTAGTTTGGAAACAAATCTGTGAAGCCATGAAAGCGACTGGTAAATACATATTTTTGTTTTGAAACATAACTTTACTGGAAAACAAAATTTTCAATACTTTTAGCTGAAGTTTGTAAAAAGAGATGGTATTATTTGCGTGAAACATTTCGAAGTCTTCATAAAAAGGAAACTGAGGATAAAAGAGAAGTTGACTGGGTTCACTACAAAAACCTTCAGTTTTTGTTATGGTAGGATGCTATATAAGACTAATGTTTGATTAATGCTAAATAATTAAAAATTTTAAAATTTGTGACTTTATTAAATAATAATTTTTAGTGCCTCAAATTGTACTGCGACCGATATAAAGCCCGTTTTAAATGAAGAACTCTCCAAAACGGATAATTCTTTAGAAAAGTTCAAACTAACAGATGAGGTTTTACTCAAATGGGAAAATGAATCAGAAAATATGGATTGTTTTGAGTACTGCGATGTTCCAGATGAAAAACCAAATGTTGAACTAGATCTTGAAGTACCACGAAAATGTGGAGAAATTTTAATTACGAAAACTGAAAACTTTTCATATAAATGTTGCATTTGTAATGAAATTATGCTAAATATAGAACAGTTTAGCAAGCATATTTTGGACAAACATATGGGACGCAACGAAACTGTATCTATTTTCGAAACTGATATAAAAGATGCTCTTGAGAAGAATGAATCCGAGATTGATTTTGATGCCGATATATTTGACGGGCATGATTCAAATGTTACAAAAGATAATGCACAAGAAAAAAGTCGTGCTGCTCCCAAAAAAGAGAAAGCTAAACGTCCAGCTAAATATAATAAAAAACGGTCCCAAAAAGATACGTTAATCGATGAGAGTTTAAAAGAAAATCCAGACAATGATCCAGAAACTGCAACTTTAAAACGTAAAATTTGGAATCAATCATCCACAATTGAGAGAGTGGGAAAATATCGTTGTAAAGAATGTTGTTTTTCATTTGATAAAGAAGAAAATTTAAAAAAACATGAGGAAGTACATCAGGACTTTTTTATATTTGAGAGAAGAAAAGGAGGAGAATTTAAATGTGACCAATGCGATAAGACATACACATTTAATTATCTATTGCAAAGGCACAAAAGATTGCACACTGGAGAGCGACCTTACGCCTGTACGATGTGTGATGCGAAATTTCGGCATTATAATACTTTAAAAGAACATTATGTGTTTCGACATTCAGAAGATAGACCAGTAATTATTTCATACTCACTAAACCTTGTTCATACCAATCTTAAATAATTTTTAAAAATGATTCTTTCAGTTTCCGTGCAGACACGAAGGGTGTGGTAAAAGTTTTAAAACAAAAGTGTCAAGAACTTTTCATGAAACTATCCATAGTAAAGAATTGAAATTCCAATGTGATGAATGTGGTAAACGTTTTCCAAGAAGTAGCTACTTAAAAAGACACCGAGGTACATGGCACATGGATAAAACTGATCGGCCTTATAAATGCCCTACATGTCCAAAATCTTTCTGTACTCAACGCAATTTAAAGTATCATATTTATACGCATACTGGGGAGCGACCATCTTGTTGCACCATTTGTCCTGCAAAATTTGCTAAGCCGTGCGGTTTAAAAGAGCATATGAAAGTACATACAGGTGAAAAAAATTATTCCTGCGATTTTTGCGGAAAAAATTTTGCGCGAAGAACCGGTTTAATGAGACATAGGAAAACGCATGGGGACATTAAAGTGAAAAATTTAGAAACAAATTAGATGTTTTGGTCATTCTATTCTAGTATTAAAAAAAAATTTTCCAACGAACAAGAAAAAAGTATTCTCTCCTTCAAACTTGACAAAACTCAAGATAAATTGTTTTGAATATTTTTTTCAATTTCTAGATTTCACAAAATTTATATTTATATATAATTATGAAAGGATTTATTCTCAATTTTAATTATAATTAAGTAACCTATGCATTTCAAAAAAAATTTTTTATAAATAAGATGGAGATAGTATAAAATATCAAAATTTAATATACGTACAGTAGAATCTCCATTAGTTGACCACTCAAGGGTGAAAGAAAAATGTTCACCATATAGAGGTGGTTCAATTACAGAAAAAAATTTTCCTTTCCATTTCATTGATTTTAAAATTTAAACAAATTTATACACAATAAAAAAATTTTTGTATACAATACATAATATACATAATATTGTATATAATAATACACAATGAAAAAATTATTACTTAAAATTTATTCTCTTGTATTTTACATACAAGTATGTAAAATACATAAAACATAAAGTGTATTCAGTGACATTAATTTATATTTATGTTAATATAAATTATTCAGTGATTAATTTATATTTTATATTTATGTGAACACTTATATCAAATATTTTCCATTTATCTTTGTTTACAAATGAACTGTAACCGCTGTTTTTTAATTGTATGAAAACACATGGAGGGTTTTACTGTATATGTACTTTTTTATTTTCATTAGGTAAAGTTTGTGTTAGTTAAAATTTCTGTCATCGTTCATTAATTTACTTAAGAAAGCAAAATAATAAATCATGACTTAAGCAAAGTATGTAAGTGTAATAAAATCAACATTTTCGAGATTTTATAATTAATATCAATAAAACAATGATTCCACTAGGTTAATACATACATACATATGTAGTTCTGTTTTAAAAATAAAGAACGATTGTGCAAAAAAATTAGTCACCTTATGTTTTTGCCTGTTAACACTTTACGAAAATTTTATATACATACATACATACCACTCGTGAAACCAGGGGCTTTACTATGTAATCAACCAATTTGTATGGTACTACCTTAGAATTTATGCTAAACGAAAATCGAATTACATAAGACCCCAAGACATGAATAAAAAAAAACAAAAATAGACAAACAAAAAATAGAACATGCCCGTCACAATTCGAGAAGGATGTGACCATCCTGAGGAAGGACCAAGTCGGGACAAACCCCATTGCATGAGAACGGGCGAGGTTGCAAGGGAAATGGAGACCGACCCCCGTCATGACCCTTCCAACAACCGTAAAAAAAATTAAGGAATACAGGATAGTCGGAGCAAACCCTCTAAACCCGCAGAGGCTGGCTCAGAGAGCACAACTGCACGGAGGAAGGAAAGCAAAGAAAAGGGGCAGTAGGAAATAGTCCCACTTACCATCTGGGTAACCTGGTGACTTAGATTATCCCTATCGTCGGGAAATCGTTGAGCCTGGTGTCAGATGTTTTCTGAAGCAGAGAAAACTCCCTGAAGATACCAGGAAACTAGCGGAAAGAGACTTGCTGGAAACTCACCTGCATGAGCTCACGGGAGGGAAAAGGGGACAAGAGTTTTTGACAACTCATTTTGACTGAGGAGACAGCGGAACGGTTTACCGGGCGGGCACAAATTCTAGAAAAGGGACAGCACTAGTTTCACAAAAGGTAGACGACTTCATGAAGTCCATGCCATCACCTTCTTCGTCCGAAGTGCGGAACAGGATTTTAACAGAATTCTGACGATCTACAATCTACGTAGATATATGTTTGTACGTACTGTGTATACAAAAAAATAACCGTTTGTTCTAAATTCCCTACTGATGTCCAATCGCCAAATAAGTATGATGAATTTTTAAATTTTTAATTCTTCAAACTTCTTGCTTCATACTTTTTTGAGTGAAAACATAATTTGAATTCCACTGTTAGCACTAGTCACTAATCGTTCATTTTGAATATAAGGATTTTTCTTGTAGTCATAAGGTAATTTAATTTATAAATGTGAATTATATTCATTTTCCGTAATGTAAATAAACTAAAAATCCAACGGAGAAAGGAGAACATTTGCCTCGAAATTTTAGCAAATACTGAAGTATTAAAATTTAGTATTTGCAATCCAGAAGCTGAAATGAAAAGTGCACATTTGTGCGTACCTCCAAAACATTGAAAACGTATTGTTCCTTTTTAATTTTAAAATTGATTCTTCAACAAGTTTAAAACCTAGCAATATTTCAATACATTGAATTTACTTCGTTTATATGGAGGATCGAGTGCGTGGCTAGAAATTTCAATCTACATATACACCGTAAAGACTTAATTAATATTACATATTATGTGAAATCCATTTAATTTTGGCATTAGCTGATGAATATTGTACATTAATAGTAATGAATTACATTAATAGAATGAATAAAAACACGGTGAAGCCAAAAACTGAGACTGAATTCAATTATTCTAACATATGACACATAAATATATATATTAATTTTAGAATAAAGCATTAAATAAAACTTACAAATAAAACTGATAATATAAAAATTTTTTAAACAAAAATATGTTCATTTTCGAGGGAAATAAATGAACTAATACTTATATGTATTAAATGGGAAGTGAATTAAAATATTTATATGTATTTGCAATTTATAAAACAAATTTATTCAAAAAAAAAAATTATTAGTTTTGTTTAAATTTGATTTTTTTACAGAAATTTAGGGCCTGATCACAGACATCTTTATATAAGATTTGACAACACATAATTTATTAATACATTCATAGGGTGTATTGAAAATAAAATTAGAAATGTTCGTAGTGATTTGGGGTGTTTGAAAACTAAAAAACAATTGAATACAAAAAAATATGCAGAAATCTTTTTATTTCGTTTAAATATTAACAAAATTAAATTTCTTGTTCTTACAAACTGGTTACTTATTACAGGTAACAAAATATGTTTGAGGTAAAACCGAAATAGTAAATACATAAAAAAATTGTTTTTGAAAAAAACCATATAACATATTTACATAAAAAAATAAAATTTGTAACCCATTTTTCTTAAAACTTGTTATATTTGATGAGAGAAGCAAATAATTTTATGACATAAATGTACCTACATATATATTCAACTAAATTCACAAAATTTTTTAATTTTCTTTTATTAAATTACATATTTATTTAAATTCTTCAAATCTTAACTTTAGTAGGTAATTGATTAAATTATATTTGCTACAGACTATAGAACAAAATTTAATGCTTTTACAAATTAAATATACTTCGTTGGTGTCGAATCACTTTTTCCTAATGCTTCTATTCATTTGTCCCTGATCGTTCTTTGGCAAATCAATGTAGGTGTAGCATTTCGCCTTTTCTCGTAGGCTGTTGCTTCTGATGGTTACAATTAAAACTTTAAAAAGGGCACCAAATCTTACTAATTCATTAAGTGATTTTTTTTCTAGGGCAGAATCCTATTTGGATTTAGCTTTAATAGACACAAGGTTTGAAATAGATGGTACAAATAATAATAAAATCATCTCTATGCTTTAATTTTTAATATTGGGTTAGAAAATAATATAGTATTTAAGATGCAGAAGGCTAATGATATATTACTTAAATATCATTTCAAAAGTGCAAATTGGGATAAATTTAAGAGGAAATGTGATGAGAGTTTGAGTAATAGATGTAATAATTGCAACAGATATTGACAAAATAAGCTTAAAAAAATTATACCAAAAGATTCAAAAAACATGTTTCCTTTATTAAATAAAATATTTAGAAATAGAAAGCAGGAAATTAGTGAAATTAAAGAAAAAGAAAAGGCAAATATTAGTTATGAAGAAATATATAAAGAAAATGATCATTATATAATAAATAAAAAAGAGCATATTGTAAATATATTAGCAACGTGTATTAAAGAAACACATATAATGTACACATATAATTAATGAATTTAAGAAATAATGAGAATTTGGAAAAATTGGTAAATGAAAAAGTTTCACAATGGTCTGGGGAATTTAATGTAATTTCTGCTATAACTCAGTTTTCGAAGTTGAAAAGATCTGATAATTTATCTCACACTCAAACTAATAATAACTATTTTATTAAAAATAGAACGATTATTAAAAATATTATTAAAAATATTTGAAAAACACAAGAACAAAACTTCATCGAGAATTGATGAAATTCCTAGCATAGGTTTAAAAAATGTGTCTCCTGCGATTATATCAATTTATAGCGTTATATACAATAATTGTTTGAATAATTCTTATTTTCCAAAAAGATGGAAAAAAGCTAAGATTATTTGCATAAGAAAAAAATCGGGAAAGGATCCTTCAAATCCCAGAAATTTCAGATCAATAAATTTGTTGCCAAATGCTAGTAAAATTTTAGAAATTATAATCAATCAAAACATACATACTTAAATTTACAGATGAAAAATATATAATTCCAAGTAATCAATTTGGATTTAAGAGAAACCACTCAGCAGTACATGCAATAAATAAATTAACTTCTGACTTATGTTGGCATTTAAATAATAAAGAGGCATTTAATTCAGTGTGATTGGATGGATTATTTTACAAAATGATTAATTTGAAATTTCCCAATAATTTAATAAAAATAATACAAAATATGATTAAAGGTAAAACATTTGTGGAATAATCTATAATAACGAATAATCTATAGTAAAATGTAATAACAAGATCTTATTTCAGTAAATTGAGTCTGATACAAAATTATTTGCTCTCAGATTTAGTATAATATGAAGATGATAATTACGTAAGATATACAATTATTTACCATGTGAATAGAAATTCAACTGATAAAAAGATTTTATATCCGCAACTATATAATAGACAATAATGATTTTAATATTAGATATGATTATTAGCAAACTGAAAGGGACAAAAATGAAAAAATCAATCATATATGGTGGTTGAATGATTCCTGATAATATATTATTTCCAGTATAAGTTTTTATCTAGTTTTTTTTTGAATTAGATTAAGTTTTATTTATATTATTAGTTTTAAGTTTTTCTTTCTTCTCTTTCTTTTTTTTGTATAAAAAAAGTCTCGTTTTTTTAAACAATTTTCTAAAATAATTTAAAACATAATTGAAATTAAATAATTAATAAGTAGTAATGATATAAATGAAGAAAACATTTGGCATTTATGAATATAATTTTTAGGGAACTTCTATGGGGGGCAGTATAAATATTAAAATAATTAATAATTAATAATTTATTTTTGTTTTAAGAAATTTTGTAAACGAATGTTAAAAAAAAATTAAGAATAAAAAAAAAAATTCCAAAAAAAAAATTAAGTGATTTAGAACATTTTTCTCAAAGTTCACCTTTGTTTCATACCAAATATAACGAACAAAAGAAAAAATTTATTTATACATATATATTATAAATCTTCATTTTATTTAATACAAAAAATTAATATAATTATTCACTAAATTTAAATTAAATTTTAAACAGCAAATAAATTATTTTACCGCTCAGCAACACAGCCTTCCCGTACGAAATTTATATATGGACTAAAGAATGCTATAGTCTCATTTTTTGTACAACCTTCCTTCCTTATTCAATAGAGACAAATACAAAAATATTAACATGGCTTGTGCATTATAGGAGTTTATGGCCTGATCGTCTATCTCCGATCGCTATTTTACTCGGAAAGAGAGCAGAAAGTGAGTAAAGGCGGATTTCCACTCAATGTCCGGACGTCCGGACAAAATTTTTAACCAATCAGAAAGCTTCATTTTACTAACACATAGGCAATACTAAAATAAATTGACAGTTCGTTCATCCAATTTTTTGAGTTAAAAAATATTTAACTTCTGGCTGAAGGCTGAAGCAAAAACATACACATCCATATATATTTGATAGAGTTCTGTCAACAGTTTTTGTTTAAAATAATTTTTGTTTCTGTCAAAAAACAAATTTAAAAAAATAAAATGGAAAATGTAATAATACTAGGAAGTGAAGAAGGTAAGTTTTTAATATTTAAACTATAAACTGCAGATATTCCATTTTTTGCTCCTTACAGAAAAGGTAAATGCGTTTATGTTAATAAACGAAATAAAACAAGCAGGCAGAGAAGCTCTATACGATCCGCAGGATTCAAAATATAAAAAAAATTGGTTTTAAAAGCAAGTTGTGGGGAGAAATTGCTAAAAAAATTAAAAACATCAGTTTGCGACATCCAAAAGCTTTGGAAAAACCTAAAAAGAAAATATCTCAATGATATTAATAAAAGTAAAAGTGGTAGTGAAACAAAAAATCTTAAACCAAGTGAATTAGAAATATTGAGGGAGATGAGTTTTTTCAAAAAATATTTAATTGGAGATGAGTAAGTAATAGTTCCAGAATTATATGTATTATATGTACCGTTACATAGTTATAAGTATATACATAGTTATGAGTTTTCTTCTCTTACAGAAATAAAACAACTAACTTCAAAAATGACGCTCAAAGTTTTTTTGATGAATTTTCTACGGATTACCTCTTCTGTAGTACCACAGAAGAGACCGCAAATATAGGATTTCAAAGTGCTCGTGAACCCAAAAGGAAGAAAACAGCTTTAATTGACAGAGCTAATGAAGTCATTGACGAAATGCATGCTCGGCACAACTTATTTTAAAAAACTTTATTAAAACTTAAAATTTTTTGAATTTTTTGTTTATTATAAAAATAGCGCCAAAATGTTTTTGTTTAGTTCTTGACCAAAAAGTAAACTCAATAGCAAACGTCAGTCCATCAGAAATGTCAGTTCTTCGGGAGTAGTGGAAATCAACCTTTTTACGTTCATGATATTTGCATGTGCTAGTATCTTCTTAACAATGTAAAAATATTATTGTCCGGACGTCTGGACATTGAGTGGAAATCCGCCTTAACTATTATATACTTGTATAATGTAATTTTCGAGTGAGTAGAATTATTTGGCATTGTGTATCTCCTTTTTTCTGAAATGTATACAAAATTTGTTCACTTTGTTTTTGAAAGTGACACGTTCAGTCGATAATTCGAGAAAAGTGCCAAAATCCAATTAAAAACATGAGAGTAAATCAATCTTATTGGAAAAGTGAAACATCCATTAGAAAATACTGAAAATTCTGATTTTAAAATGAATAAAAAGTGTTTAAAAAAGTGAGATAAACGATCAGGCTGTTAAAATGAAAAAAAATTTCGAAATATTTTTCAGTTTTCGCTTTAAAAAAAAATTTAACTTATCGTTTTTATAAATTACACATGTTTTATAGTAGACACCAAATGAGAAAATAAAATAAATACGCTCTTGTTGCGACTTTGACAATGCTCGGAGCAAAGAAAGAGACAACTAAAAAAATTTGGTCATTATTTTTTCAATATGCTCCTCCTTCTTTTAGTACATATTTCTAATTCGTTGCACTAAACTAAAAGAACTATTCACATCACCACAGTTTTTGTTTAATTGTTTGACATTGATAGAATGAGAAACTGGTTTTCACGCACAAAGTTTACCATATGAATTTTGTGGTTTCGTTTACCGTGGCATTAAAATTGCTAAATTCGATTTCGACACTTTCGTTTTGGTTATACTGTGAATAAAAAATCACATCGGACATTTTAGCAGACATATCAAATGACATTTCAATTATATTTTTTTTTAAGTAAACAGATTCAGCCAAGTAATGATAAACATTAAACAATAAACCGTGTTTTAAGATTTTATGCAATAATTACTATATTTTTAATATAAAGTTTATGTACTAAAATGAATATAAATAATAAAAAAAATTCACAGAAGGAGTTTATTAAGGAATATGAAGCTTCATTAATTACGCAAATAGCGCAAAGGCAGTTTTTGTACGATAAAACTCATGAATATTATTCCAAATTTCAGCTTCGTATTGATGCTTGGCAAGAAATTTCAGAATCATTAAACCGACCGGGTAAAGTGAATAATTTCCTACGTATGTACATACTTAATATTTTTAATAAACCCTTTTTTTAGTAAAAGAATTAAAGAAAAAGTGGGAAGCGCTAAGAGATACTTATAGAAAATTTTATAGAAAAATGAACAACCGCTTAAATGAAGGAAAAGGTGTAGTGAAATGGGTTCATTATGAGCATATGAAATTTCTCAACGGGCACATAAAATTGTAAATGTTATTAATTTTTTTTTTATTATTTTATTTCCGAAACTGTATAAATTAACTGTTTCAGAGATGAGATTTTACCATCTGAACAAGCAGAAACGCAAAAGGAATTTGATTCTAAACTAATTAATCAGATAGAGACTAAGAAAAATTTATACGATCCCATGAGTGAGTCTTTTGCAAACATGAAGGTGAGAGCGGAAACTTGGGAGCAAATATGCAACGTTATGAATGCTTCTGGTAATTTCTACTACATAAAAAAATTAAATTACAAAGTATTTTCATTATTTTTAGCCGAAGTTTGTAAAAAAAGGTGGACTTATCTGCGAGAAACTTTCCGAAATCTTCATAAAAAAGAAACAGAAGATAAAAAGGAGGTTGACTGGATTCACTATAAAAATCTTAAATTTTTACTGAGGTAAAAAGTAGTCGAAAATTAAAAAAAAAACAGCGCAGTACAACAAACTCTACCTATTAATTTTAGCGCTATTAATTGCAATGCACCAGATGAAAAAGCAGTATGCAACAGTTCGTCAAAATCGATTAACGCTTTAGAAAATTCGACACCAACACATGCTGATTTACTTAAATCAGGAAACATAAATTCTTCAGGTTATTATGAGTTTCCGGAAGACGAGTCGAAATTTCCATCAGAATTTGAAGTTGTATCTCAAAAATGTGGTGAAATTTTGATAACGCAAACTGAAAAATTTTCTTATAAATGTTGTATTTGCAATGATGTTTCGATAATAATCGAAAATTTTATTGAACACATTTTGGATAAACACATGGGTCGAAATGAAACTGTTTCCATTTTTGAAAATATTTCGAAAGATCAAATCACGAAGGATGAGCTCGATAAGCACTATACTAATGATTTCATTAACGATAATGATACAAATGATGATATCGCAGGTAATAATGTATCAAGACCAGAAAAAGAGAAGATTTTAAAACCTTCTTTAAAGTATGTAAAAAAACGTACGCATAAAGATTCTTTAATTGATGAAAGTTTAAGAGAAAATCCGGATGATGACCCTGAAACTGCAGCTTTAAAACGTATCAAAAGACGCAATAAATTAGTAAAAATTGGAAAAGTAGGGAAATATCCTTGCAATGCTTGCTGTTTTTCATTTGATAAAGAAGAAAATTTAAGGAAGCATGAGGAAACCCATCGAAATTTTGTATTTGAAAAGAAAAAGGGAGGAGAATTTGCATGCGATCAATGTGATAGACGATATACTTTCAATTATCAATTGCAAAGACATAAGCGACTGCATACCGGAGAGCGACCATACGAATGCACAATTTGTGAGGAAAAATTTAGGCATTATGACACTTTAAAGGAACATTACGTATTTCGACATTCAGAAGATAGACCTGTGAGTATTTACGTTTTTTAGGAAGTAAATACTCATAGATCTATCTTACAGTTATTGTATTTCAGTATGCTTGCAGACATGAAGGTTGCGATAAAAAATTTAAAACGAGGAAGACAAGATCGTTTCACGAGGTTGTTCATAGCAATGACTTACCGTTTCAATGCGACGAATGCGGTAAATGTTTCCCTAAAAACAGTTATTTGAAAAGGCACCGAAATACATGGCATATGGATAAAACTGATAGACCTTACAAATGTCCTCATTGTACAAAATCTTTCTGTACACAACATAATTTGAAATATCATATCTATACTCATACTGGTGAACGACCGTTCAGTTGTACAGTTTGTCCAGCAAAATTTACTAAAGCATGGAGTGTGAAAGAGCATATGAAGGTTCATTCAGGTGAAAAAAATTATGCATGTGAAATTTGTGGGAAGAATTTTGCACGAAGGGCTGGTCTAATAAGACATAAAAGAACGCATGGTGATATTGTAATGAACAGTTTAGAACTAAACTACCAATAATAAATAAATTAGTAAATCAAAAATTTTAATTTTATCTGTACAACAATATTATATTGTGGCTCTTTCATAAAAATAAAACAAAATTAAAAAATCATTTACAACGAATTTTTCGAACAAGGATTAGAATATTGTTTAAATTTTATGATGAGAGTATAAATTAAAAATCCAGGAAATGTTTGTAAGTAGTATTAAAAAAGTTATTGAATATTAATATTGACAAATAACGATTAAACTTGAAATATACTTGATAGATACTTAAAAACATGCAAAATTTTGTGTACTTATAGAATGCAAATAATGCAGGTATAGATTGAGTTATAGAGGCATAATTTATTACATGTATGTAAAAGTTCAAATAGCCTAGCCAAGCTATGTTTAAAAATTTGTGTGCAAAGGGAATGAAACGTATGTCAAACATTGATATAAAAATTTCGTGTATATTCTGGTAAAGTATAAACATAACGTATAAAATAAGGTCAAAAATCTTGTGTAAAATATCAGACTCAGGGCTGTAATAATTTGAATTTCAAAAAGTATATTTGCTTATTCAACAAAAAAATATATTAAAATTTTATTTATTAAATTATCAACCTAAATGTTTTTCGACATTTTTTCGCTTTGAACCGAAAATATTATCAAAAAATGTTTAGTATGTTTAAAATAAGCGCTAAAATTATTCAACACTTCAGGAGATTCAAAGGTTTTGCGTACAATGTACGAAATTTCCCAAAAATTTTTTTTTAAAATCTTACAGTAACAATTTTCTAGACTTAGTACAACCATTAAAAATTTTGACTTGTCATGATACGTTAAGTGTACCACTTTTTTAAACGATTTTTATCAAAATGTACCATTTTTTGATGGAAATTTAAATTTTTGGCTGTTGATATTTTCCCAAAAAAATTTTTCTCAAAAGAAAAGATCTTGTAGAAAGAAGTTAAGTATACAAATAATAAAACAACAAATAAGATAAAGATAGTTATGACGTCTAAGACTTTGATTCATATCACAGCGTGTAGTAATCGAAATCTACATATATGTACATATATAAAAAATGGATAACACTTATTTCATTTATAAATAAAATGTTGGTACAGTTCATGAATGCTAATATTCGTGCCATTTCTACTTGCTCGCATTGTTTTGTTGTAATTTTGTTTCAAGAAAAATAGGATCTTTAATTTCACATAATATATTGGTCAACGATATAAATTTGGAAACATATACAGCAATCCCTCCTATAACGTAACCTCTTACTATATAATTTCGATATATGTAAATTTTATTTTTCCTACCTATTTTCACTTAATGTAATTTTAAAATAATTTAATATGCTATTTTTTCTAATTTAATTTCTATTTTTTTTTCATTTAAATTTCTTTCTTTACCAACAGACAACTTACTAGTTTAGGCAAATATCAAGTACATACATACATATTAGTCATATTAGTTTAGTTGGACCTCCTATAATGTAATTTCACTTAACGTAAAAAGTGTCCAAAATGTTCTGTTCGGTCCCAAAAATTACGTTATAGGAGGGATTGCTGTATTTTTTTTTTTCTGTTGTTTTTTTTTGAAAGTCCTGCAAAAATATCGTTCGAACAGAAATTTTTTTAATTGTACTGATCCCAAGTGCTGGCGTCAAATAAACTTCAAAAACTCGAATTTTGAAAATCGATCAAAGGAAGTCGAACGAGGGCGAGAGTAAAAGAGCAGCCGATTTGGATTGCTAACAAAATGCTAATTAATTGCCATATTAACATATTTTTATTGCTTTCTTTACGTGGCTTGATTGGTCAGTTTTACAATAGCAGTTTTTGCTGCTGAATTTTATTTATACATAAGTAGCTTTTCATTTTATACATAAGCAACTTATAGCAGCTGTATATATAAACACGTAAAGAACTATTGAATATTTAGGAATAAAATTACGTTTCACGAAAAAAAAACTAAATTCGATATTGAATAGAGTTGATATTTTGAGCAACAAAAAGTTAGTATAAGCCTCCAGGGTTTTTTTTTTGCTGATTATATTTGTTTTATAAGTAGCATAATAGCTGCTTCGTGTAAAACTGACCATTGCAGAGCCGTAACTATTCGAAATACATAATTGAGTTGTTTTCTGGGATTCTTCATTAGTAAAACAATTTTTTTTTATTTTCTTAGAAAATAATTTTTTCAGTTAGGCTTTGCTATATGCATCATGAATCGCGAATATCAAATGAAAGTCGGGTAGAAAGATACGAACAATTTTGACTAAGTCGTTGACTGAAGTTGCTGTAAAGAATTCTAATTTAAGTCGGAAAACAACAAAAGTCATAAAAAAAGAATTATTCAAGTTAAAAAGAAGAAAAGTGATAGATGTGAAGATAAGCGATGACAAGTCTCGTTCACGAAGGAACTTATCTTAAAGAACGAGTCACTTCACTGAACTTACCTGATTAGTTCACTTCTTCAAAAATGAAAAGTTCATCGTTCTAAGAACTAAGAATTCCAATTCTCTTTTTTAGTTATTAAAAAAATGACTGCAGTGGTAATTGATATACATTTCATATTTTTCCTTATTTCTGTATTAATACTATACAATACAAATAAAATTGAACGACATAACCCTTATAAAAACGAACCACATAATCCTATATGCAACATTGATAAAAACAAATGAGAAGTACATAAAATAAATGAAATGCTATACATACAAAGGTGACCGAATCAGTTGCTAATATAAAATAAATACAATACAAATAAAAACGAACGGGAGCTGATCAAATATATATAAAATGCAGCACCAATACAAATAAATTGACCGATTCACGTCACAGCTGCCTATTGCCTAATTTAAATGCAATACAAATAAAAGTGACCAAATTAAAAATCTACCCAAATGAGAAAATTGAAAAATTGGACAAAATTGATTCAAATTGAAAGCTACCTGTATGAATTTTTTTTGTTTTTACCGAGAGGAAGGGTGAAAAATCTCGAAAGACACTGCCAGACGAAAAGCAGTAGTGTGGAACTTTAATCCACTAAAAAACACCCTCCTCAAAATAAACTATAAAACTAGTCGGAACGACTAACCATTAATTTTGCTCTAACTTTTTTGATTATTTACAAGCTTTTGATCTGGCACAATAGTGTACTAAGTACTCATTGTTCTAAATAAAAAACTTTAAACTAACTCGAGAGGTCTCGTACGTTTAAGTCTCCTAACAAAGTTTTGATTGTCAACCAATCGAGCCGCCTCGATGTTGACATGATTGGATAAACGCATTTTATGATTGGCTGCTTGCTTTTTAACTTCGTCTGTGATACTTAGGATCGTGAGATCCCTGTGTATATCGGCATTACGGACATACCAAGTTGCGTTTACAATGTCCCGTAATACCCTATTTTGAAATCTTTGTATAGATTGGATATGAGTCTGCGCAGCGCAGCCCCACAACTGAATACCGTAAGCCCAGACAGGCTTAAATATTTGATTATATATCAAAACTTTGTTGTATATCGTCAATTTAGAACGCCTCCCCAAAAGCCATTCAAACTTTCTGTATTCCTCCTCTAGTTGAGATCTCTTTTTCTTTATGTGCCCGTCCATCTGAGTTTCGCGTCCAACGTCATTCCCAAATACTTCGCCGTGTTTGCGGACGGAATCAAGACGCCATTTATTTGAACCGAAAATGAATTGTCAATTTTCCTATTAGTGAAATTTACATGTACTGATTCCACTTTCTAGTCCATTTTGAGATCTCATCACTGGCCCTTTGCAATTTTTGTGTAGAATCATTTTCATTTCGTCCAATTGCGATAACTGCTGTATCATCAGCAAATGATACAGCGTCTTAGTTGTTGCGATTCATGATTATATCTGGTTTTATCCGCAGGATCACGCGTTTGCTGCCACCTTTTCCTCGCCCGCCTGCTTCGTTTTACTTTTGCTAGTATATGTGGGGGATAGTTAATGCCCTCTCCCCTCCTAATAACGTTAATTTTGGAACTACTCCAAGCCGCATTTTGAATAATTTTAGTAAAGTTTTCGGCCTCCTCATCTATGTGCTGGGTCGTTCTTATTCTTTTCCTTAGATCTATTTGTCGTTCAATCTCTAAGCGAAATCTTGACCAATCTGTAGTTCCATTTGTCAGCGCAGGTTTCGCTCTTTTCATAACTATATTTTCCTTAAGTACAAGAATAACCACTGAATGATCGGAGTCAAGATCGTAGTTGTCATGTACCTCGATGAAATTTTTCGCAATCCGTTTCGTTATGAAGAAATCTATTAAATTTGGACACTTATTGACATCGGTTGGCCAATACGTTGGCTTCGCAGTAGAGTGAAAAAGGCACCCCGTGCCGCCAATTGCTGTCCTAAATTCTCTTCCTCTAGATGAAGTATGCCTTGAACCCCAATCAGTGTGCTTGGCGTTAAAGTCACCCCCCAATACAAATCTATCGCCCAGGTCTGTCAGAACGCATTGAAACATCTCTGCCGTAATTTTAAATCTAGGGTGACAATATAATGCAGCCACTCTAAATTTCTGCTTAGTCGAAGTGATCTGAACCGCTGTCATTTGCATTCCCTCGGTTTGCATCTGGTGCAGATCGCAATGCACCACATTTTCTTTTATTATTATCGCCGTTCCGCCCTTCGCTATATTTCCAGGATGGTTCGAGTTGTAAATTCAATAACCTGGAAACCGAAATGAAATGAAAAAAAAAGGAAGCCTTGAACTGAGCTACCATATATCTTATATTTATCTATAAAATTTTTAATCAAGATAAATATTATGATCGCTTTTTTACCTAAATATTTTAAATAAAAGAAAAAAGTAAAAAAAAATTAATCATTATAAGTTAACATTATAACGCATTAGGGATTAAAGTAAAATATTAAAGTAAATTAAACAAAAGTTTAAAAAAATTAGGATAGGATTTCAGTTTCTTTCGAGCAATAAAAATAAAGATAATTACAAATATTTATATTCTATAAATTTCTTGTGAGGAATAATAAATTCAAACTCAAATGGTTTAAAATTTTTATTTTTTCAAATTTAAGAAATTATTGTGACTTCAATAATGCATTAACGACGTAAACTTTACAAAGTATCACATTCCAAAAAGTTTAGCAAAAGCTCTTGACATTGTGTAAGTATAAAGTATATTGGGTATCGAAAAAATCGAGCACGCTTTTTTATACAAGTCATATAAATGTTGCCAGAAATAACCAATTAAATAAATTAGTATATATTTTCAGCAATTGAGTGCTAGTTATTAAGTTTTTTCTAAAATGCGGCATAAAAATGTATGTTTTTAACTGCTAACGTTTATTAAAAATTAACATTTGCACAGAGCTTTAAATTGAAATTTTCAACAAACTTCAAAGTATGATATAATATTGTAAAAATTGTATTCTAAATGTATCAAAAGTTTTAGCATTTTTTTTTTACAATGTAAGGGTATTGAAAGCTCTGAGACGGTACTACAATCGTATTAATACCGTACTTAAACTTTTTATAAAGAATTATTGAAGTCACGGTTACTTATAATTTAACAGTTTTTTGAGTAAAAGTTTTAAAGTTTTCTTTACGTTTTAAACTATTTGGTTTATATAAGTAGAGACATTTTGTGGTTCAAAACTTATTACTAATTTACAAAACCCATTACATATATTTTTCTTTAAAATTTAACATAAATACGAATAGCCATATAATTATAACCAAAAAACATGTAATTATATATGCAGAAGGGAAATGAACGAAATGAACGATTGAACGAGATTTTATAATCGGTCAGTGAAAAAAAGTAGTTCGTTCAGAACGAATCGTTGAAATGAACGATATTGCCTATGACTATAACAAACCATAGCCCATAAAGTAAAAGCACCACCAATATGTGTGATTAGCATCAAATAATTATTAAAGTATAAGCATAGAATATTTTTTTGACAAAAAGACGGGGACTACTCTATCGACATTATATTTTGCAGAAAAGTATACATTTTTGTTATTGTGAATTACTAAGAACAACTGTCATTGATAGTTTAACAGATTCGGCGCAGCATTCAGCAAACAGAGCTTAACAGACGGCAGCAAAAATAAATATTTGTTTTAAAATATAAAATTTGGTATGTGAAAATGAGTACCATTAAAAAAAAAAGAGCTCCGAAAAAAAACACAGATCAAGAGGAAAAAATTAAAAAAAAAACAAATCCAAAAAAATATTCCGGGCGCGATTTTGAGGCAAAATTGGTTGCTGAAATTGCAAGGAGACCTTTTCTGTATGATAAAACTCATGAATATTTTTTCGAGTTCCAACTCCGCATAGATGCTTGGGAAGAAATTTCAAAACATATGAATAAAACTGGTAAGTGTTTATCTTATTTATATTTCAGATTATTTAAATTTTTGATCTTGAAGTTGATGAACTTAAAAGAAAATGGGAAAGACTAAGAAATACTTATAGAAAATGCTATAAAAGAGAAAACAGAAATGCAGAAGGGGAAAAGATCCAAATAAAGTGGCCACATTATCAAAATTTAAAGTTTCTCGATGGGCATGTTAAAGTGTAAATTTCTAGCATTCTTGCTTTATTCATTTTCCATTATTTGACTTTGTATTTTAGCGATGACACTCTTCCTTCTGAAATGAATGAGTTACAAAAGGAATTTGATGCTAAACTTATTGTGGAAATTGTTAAACGAAAGAATTTATACGATCCTATGAATGAGTCTTTTAGAAACAAAAGAGAAAGAGCAGAAACTTGGGAGGAAATTTCCAAAATCATGAATTCTTCTGGTATTTTCGCTTGCGTGTTTTCAAATCTCGATTTTATTTAAATTTACATTTCTAAATTTTCAGTCGAAATGTGTAAAAAAAGATTAAATTATTTGCGTAATACATTTCGAAAATTTCATAAAAAAGAGACAAACGATAATAAAAAAATAAATTGGGTCCACTATAATAATTTGAAATTTTTGTTGGAATATGATGCAGCCTGGTAATTGAACTCTTCAAATTAAAAAAACGAAAATAAGTAAAAAAATTTTTTTAGTTTAAATGAGATAAGACCTCCTCATACATATAATCCTTCAAAACCGGAAATTCCCATGGAACTTAGAAATCTGCCTCCTCTTGGAGATATTTCATTAAAATCGGAAAATGTGGATTGTACGGAATTTAGTGATATTTTGGAAAGCTTTTGTGATGAGGATGAAGAAAAACCAGAATTTTCTGGCGATGTTCCACAAAAATGTGGGGAAATTTTAATCACAAGAAACGAAAAATTTTCGTATAAATGCAGTATTTGTAATGATAGTATGGCAGCTGTTGATAGCTTTACAAACCATATTTTAGATAAGCACATGGGAAAGAATGGAAGTTCCTCTTTATTTGACAACGATCCTATAGAAAAACTTGAAGTCCCAAGCGAAAATGACTTTTTTAATGAGATAGATGATGTCGATTCCAATGAAGAAAATGAAAAATTTGACGAAAGCGACTCAATTCCTTTGAAACGTATTAAAAATGAAATAAAAGATAATTCGCTTGCTGAAGAAGGTGATGAAAATAACACTACGACTAATTCTGACCTAAAACGAATTCAAGAACAAAACAAATCAGTAAAAATTGAAAAAATTGGGAAATATCCTTGTAAAAGTTGTTCATTTTCTTTTGATAAAGAAGAAAACTTGAAGAAACATGAAGAAACACACCGTAAAAATTTAATAAGTGCAGCAGACCAGAAAAAAGAGCCTGGCGTACATACATGCGATGAATGTGGCAGAAGATTTCAATACAAACATGATTTACGTAAACACAAACGAATTCATACAGGAGAACGTCCATATCAATGTACCATATGCGAGAAAAAATTTAGGCAATATGATAATTTAAAAGAACACTACATATTTAGACACACAAAAGACAAGCCATTTCAATGCAGGCATGAAGGTTGTGAGAAAAGGTTTAAAACAAAAAGGACAAGAACCTCACACGAAGTTATTCATAGTGGTGATTTACCTTTCCAATGCGAAGAATGCGGTAGACGTTTTCCTAGGAGTTATGATTTGAGAATGCATCGTAGTATATGGCATATGGATAAAAATGATCGGCCATTCAAATGTCCTCATTGTACAAAATCATTTTGTACTCAACAAAATCTTAAATATCATGTTTATACACATACAGGAGAGCGACCTTATGGTTGTACAGTTTGTACATCTAAATTCACCAAACCTTGGAGTGTTAAAGAACATATGAAAATACATTATGGTGAGCGAAATTACGTTTGTCAAGTTTGCGGAGCAGCTTTCAACCAAGTAGCTGGATTAGTGAGACATAAAAAAAGACTACATGAAGGCATAACAAAAGTGACTGAATAGTAAATATGTAAAGTAAAAGCTCTTTCACGAGTTTAAATAAAATTAATTTAAGTGGAAAGTCTTAAATATTAAAAGACGTTTTTTTATGTTTATAATTAGTAATTATATAATCATTTATGCCTATTTCAAACATATGTTTAAGCAAATTTTAGTTAAATTCTATTACCTAATAAATAAACAAATTTAAAATGACAATCTTTCATTTAAATCAGTCATCATTATACCCGTATGAACGTATGTTCGAAGGGTATACTAAATTTGCCTTACCGTTTGTAACGCTAAGAAATAACGGTCTTAGATATAGACTCAAGTGTATGTTTTTGATCAGCGTCAAATTCTGAGTTGATTTAGCTTTCTCTGTCCGTCCGTCCGTCCGTCGCACAAAACTAATTGAGCTAAGTTCACCTTTTTTATCTTAATGGAAATTTCTTCATGCAACTGCAGAACAGATGGATGACGTAATCAAAGGAACAAGTTAAAGGCAGAAAAATTATTCATTAAAAAATTTTTCTCCTCGAACTGGACTCGAACCAGTGACCTACCGCTTTCTAGGCGGACGCTCTACCAACTGAGCTACAGAGGCATGAAGAAATTGCCGACGAAATGTTCTCTACATTGCTTTTATACTGTAATTCACATGATTACTAAGTATTTGTTTTTTGTTTACATTGATTGCTACATACAATCCATTGAAACACACAATAACAAGAACATATACGAGTATATTTATAGGATAGTGCCTATTCCACTAATTATATTATGAATTTTACTAATACAACATTATAGTTGCGGAATCAATAAGAATGTGCCTATTACACTACTAATTTATCTTAATGGAAATTTCTTCATGCAACTGCAGAACAGATGGATGACGTAATCAAAGGAACGAGTTAAAGGCAGAAAAATTATTCATTAAAGTTCACCTAATTTTCCTAAATGAGATATTGCAATAAGTGCCAGAACCCTATTTAAATTGGACATGATCGAGGTACCGGTTCGGGTAGCTGCCATACAACTTCAAAATTTATTTATCTATATCTCAGAAACTATAAAAGCTGTGGTATTGAAATTTCACACAAACAAATATATTAGTAGGGCCAATGTGTTTTATAAAATTTGTTGAAATCACTTGGCTCCTTCTGGTACCTGCCATACAACTTCAAAAGTTATTTGGCTATATCTCAGAAACTATAAAAGCTATGGCATTGAAATTTCACACAAGAAAATATATTAGTAGGGCTAATGTGTTTGATAAAAGTCGTTGAAATTGCTTGGCTGCTTCTGGTAGCTGTCGTTCTACTTCAAAAGTTATTTGGCTATATCTCAGAAACTATAAATACTAATAGGTATTGAAATTTCACACAAGCAAATATATTAGTAGGGCCGATGTGCTTAATAAAATTCGTTAAAATTTCTTGGCTCTTTCTGGTAGCTGCCATACAACTTGAATAGTAGTTTGGCACACACAGTATTTTGAAAAACACAGTACTGAAATTTTGCATAAATTGATATTCTAATACGGCAGCTTAAAGTCATAGTCTGTCCCATAGTTAGTTACGGCATCTTTATTCGGGTACATAGGATAACAAATTCGTACGGGTATCACAGAGTTGACAAGGTCAACTCTATTTTTTCTCGTCTTTATTGTAAATGCAAAAGAAGCACGTTTTTGTTCTTTTGCATTTTTTTTATTGATTTTACAAAAACGAACCTTTTTTTATAATATTATTCTCATCAATTGATTGCCAATAAATGGGTTTTAGTTTAAAAGTAATAAAGTTTTCCCTTTCCATTTTGCTATTTCTTTATTTTTCAAGAAACGAAAGACAAAATTTAGCTTTGCATGCACGTATTTGTAAAAATTATAAAACAGTATAACACTAAAGATTATGTAAAGACTCAGAATCAAAACAAAAATTTAAAATAAAATTTGAATATTATTCCGAAATATACGTAAAATATTAAATTTTGAATTAAAAAATATTAATTCGCAATTATATTTGTCATTGTTCCGTATAGTAAAGACCTTATCGCGTAAGAATTCTTCTTTAGTTGTGAAGCTATTTTTATTTTTAATGATTAAATTTTTATTGAATTATTAACTCAGCTATAGCAAATTTTTGAGTTTCACAATTTTACATAAAATATTTTTCGATTTTATATTAAAAGAAATAGATGGATTTTAAATATTTAATTTATCAGTATAAAACTTTTAGATAATTTAGAATAACAAATTAGAATTAATATTGGTTTCTACGTTCAATATTTATTTAAATTTTTAGCTTTTAAGTGTTCATCATTTTTGTTGAACAAAATGTTAAACTTGAATTGAAATATCTAACAAAAAAAACAATTAATATCTACATATTCGTAAATTAGATAATTAGTGTTCTCTTAGCTCTCAGTAAAAACTTAAATAGAACGGAAGTTAAAATTGGTGTATAGTGGTAATACAAAGGTACTTAAACATTAATTTCTGAATTAAAGTTAATTTAAAGACTGTATTAATACATTATGAACTTCATAGTATACATAAGTATGTATGTAGGTAGGTAGGAAGATATCTATATTTTTCATATTATGGATACCTATTAACATACTGGTAAGTCAGCAGTTCAATTTAAAGTCAAACATTACAGCTAACCTAAATTTTTTATTTAAAAATTTTTAATATTTTGGGTAAGTTTATAAATTTAAAGAAATATGACATTTTTGAAATCCAGTTTTTTATATTAAACGTGGATCACTGGTTTTTTTTTTAATTTTGTTCGATGTGTGCATTTTTAACTTTATAACGCACAAATGTCCAATCTTAATCTTTTATATTTAATGTGATACATTAGTTTTTAAACAAGACTCTGTAATAATTCAAAACTTTAAATGTATATCTAACATTTTAAAAGCGTTTTTTTTTACATTGTGGAACTTAAGATTTTGTTTTATACTTTTTTTTGGCTGTTAAAACATTTTTGGAATCTTGAACAAAAAACAGACTTGACAGAAAAACAGGCTAACCAAACATGATGGGTGGATCATGTTATTTTCCAAAATATAAAATTTTTTTTTAAATGTATTTTAGGTGAAAAGAGAAAATCAGCTCTCATAAAGTGCGTATGTAGCGCGCACGAATATACTCGTATTATCAGAAATAAAAGTATTTTATTCCGAAAAAAAGAAAGTTTCGTTTTTCATACATCAAAAAAAAATATGATTTCAAGACTTTAGATACATACATACATGTATTATATTGCATATACATATACCTATGATTAATATAATTAATTTTTCATTTAATTAATATAATCTCATTAATGTAATTAATTTTTTATTATAAAGTAATTTTGCCAACAAAGTTTAAAAAAAAACATTGTTTTCGTTAAGAGTTTTTATTGAAAAAAAAAGAGATCCATAAACATTGATTTTTAATGGTTATATTTTGATAAAAAAGTAAAAAAGAAAGTTATTGATGTTTGACTTAAGGTCTGAGCTGTGACAGATAATTTCAGTTTACTACACTGATACAGATAATTTTATTTGATAAGACACCGTTTAAGACAGTGATGAGCAACCTTTTTTTAAATTGGGCTAAATGAGAAAAAGCAAATATTTCCCGGGCCGCAGTTATAGCAGATTTATTTTCTAGTTTCAGTAATAAGTAAGTTTAATTTCAGTAATAAGTAATTTCAAGGCATTCTGTAGTTATTTTTAAATGGTTATTGAATGTATCTTAGATATTATAATTATTTTCTTAAACTTAAACATATCATTATAAAAATAGTGATTGAAAAATTATAATAAGAAAAACTCAAAATAAGTATTAAAAGTTTTAATGAGAAATTAAAACTTTTAATACTTATTTTGAGTCTGAAATTTTGGCAGCTAACGGTAAATGCCATGCCATTAAATAATATAATTATTTTGCTTAACCTTCACAATTGATCTTTATATACGAGCATTGTTTTTTATTTATTTATTTATTCATTTATTTAGTGTTAAGTACTATTATATACATAATTACTCATAATTTAATAAAAATTAATTTAAAAAGAAAACAAAAAATTGCATCCATTTGAAAAAAATCAATAAAAGTTATTCTAACTAGTTTTCAAAAAATCAATTACTTGAAATTTAAATTTTACATAATTACGAGTATTAATAGATTTAATATTATTCGGCAATTCATTATACATTTTTAATCCATTATATAAAACAGTGTTTTTTTAACTTTCCGTTCTAAAAAAAGTTAATCTAAAATTAAAAATATTGCGCAAATAATAATGCTGAACATCTTGCACATATATAAGCCTTCTACTCAAATATTGCGGTAAAAGATTATGCTTCACATTTAGCTTAAATTTTTGCTTTATATCCAGCCATTTCAGCGTGTGTAACATATACCTAATTGGCGTTAATCTGTTGCATTTCAAAATAATGCGCATTCCTCTATTTTGTAGTTTTTGTAACCGATACTGCATTTCATTAGAAGTAAAAGCTATCACAGTAGAACAATATTCGAAATGAGGTTTTACCATAGTATTGAATATATTAATAACAGAATTCATCGATAACTGATTTCTTATTCTCCACAAAAAATTCAACTTTTTTGAGATTTTTTTACACATGTAATCAACATGGCTCTTGAAATTCAATTTATCGTCAATCACGATACCCAAATATTTAATTTCTTTTACAATTTCAATGTCTTGATTATAAATTTTTAAATGATTTTGCAACACTCCATTTATCATCATAGCTTTTGTTTTATTTATGTTTAAGCTTAATTTATTTTGCCGAAACCAGTGGCTAATTTTTCCTAGATCTGCATTCATTTTTGCTGCACATTCATCTACTGATTCTCCCTCAAAGTATACCAACGCGTCATCTGCAAAAAGCATAACTTTAACAAAATTCGTTACGTTCTCCATATCATTTATGAAAATCAAAAATAAAAGCACGCCTAACACGGACCCCTGAGGAACCCCTATCGGGATCATTTCTGATGGTGAAAGTATATTATCAACTTTTACTATTTGACGTCTGTCGCTAAGATAGCATTCAAACCATTTGTGTTCTATGCTTTTAATGCCATAATTATCCATTGTTCTAAGTAACAAGCTTCTGTCAACTGTTTCAAATGCTCTCCTAAGGTCAATGAACACTGC